TATTACGTACTCTATCGTTTTATTCTATCATATCATATTATAAACAATGACACACAAATCCAATTCTAACAGATGGCGCAAATGGACATTTAATTAGACCAGGTTAAGATGTTTGGCTTGGTTAGCAATTACGTAAATTTTTTTCACTCTCCATATTTGTTATTCAAGGGATATTTTTCAATAATTTTTGCCCTGTGGAAATCATCTACAGTCGTGTGTTTTCCTTGTGGTGCTGACTCAAACTGATTCTAGTTTAATCGGCGAGTACCGGTAATGACTAATCATTTTCAAGTTTGATATTTTCTGTTCATCTTATATAACATGGTACTCATTCAGTTGTTTTGCTTCAGATTGATAGTCATCTTGTTGCAAATAGTCACCAAAGTAAACATCCGCGCAAATCTCACCCTATTAGATTTGTAAGTGACAGTAAATAAAAATTATGTTTCAAATGTCAATATTAGTAAATATTTTATTGCAAAGATGCCGGTACGAATTGCACGCATGTTCATTGTCATTCTAACTAAATGACTTTCCGTTTTGTTTGGATAAAATTTAATGAAACTTTATTTCCCACCTAAACGCCAGGCAAACTCGATAGCCTATTATTAACCTTAGCATGAGTGGTGACAAAGTACATGCATAAAGGAAGACACTTTATGTGTATATACACCACGTCAACAATACCATCGATTCATACTTTTTGAATCAACAAAATATATGCCATAGCATACAGCAGGGGTGGCCAACACGTCGATTGCCTAATAATAAATTGCCTCCTAATAAATGTCTTGAATCAGTTTCATGCAGCGCCTGTTGTGTGTTTTGAAACCGGTAAGATACAATAATGTACATGCGCAAAATACGATGTTGTGTAGTGTTAAATAAGCGATCCTATTAAAATTAGGGTTGAGTTGATTTTAGTGAAAAATGTACACTGTTTATATAAGTGATTCAAGTGTCTTGTTGCACGCTAACACAAATTATCAATTAGAATACTCACTCTTGCCATAGCATCCTTGCATTAAAAAAAGATACGGATCCATCGGCGCAAAAGCGTAGAAGAAGGATAATTAGTTAGACAATCGATAGCACCATAAACGAGAAATTTAAAGTTATTCACTGTTTAAAAAAGATGTTATTGATGATGACGAAATTATTTTGTAGCCGAAATACCAATGGCATCATTCAGAATTATATAAAACCGCTCATCATAGAGAGTATGGAATTTAGCCAGTAGCGTATGTAGCTGCCCAATGAATTTTCCCAAGGCTACTCAATGATTTCCGAAAATGTCATCTAAAATTACCTTGAAATGCCAGTTAGAAGCCAGACGGACCGTTCTCGGCGAAACTTTGTATACGGTATGTATAAATTTGATGAGAAATAATAAATCACCTATTCCGCTACAATTGCAAATAATCTGCCATTTGTAGGAACACACATTTTACATTATTGGACACGCAGTTTACCTATGGATCGTTTTGGTATTATGTTGTTGTTGTTGTTGTTGTTAGAAATCGTTTTCTTGCTGTTATGAAAAAAATCGCCTTTCTTTTTAATTACTGTAACAATTGTTTGAAATTGTCAGTGGTTAAAGATTGTTGTTGTCGCTAGACAGGGTGGTCCAAGGTTGTCGGCTCCGCGGGCCACAAAAATATTCTTGAATTGTTCGCGGGCCACAATAGTGCCATCCGCCAAGAATAGGTAAACAGTGCAATACAAAACAAACACTTTTATTGTGCAAACACATAGTTATCAGACATAGCCATTCCAGGCTAATAGAATTTGCATTCTATTTTTAGTTTTCTATGATGCCTATATATTGTAAGCATATATTCCCGACCAAAAAGATAGAAAGCCAGATAAAAATATAAACTGCCAAGCACCTCATTCAACTTTGCTAGTTGCCTCAGTTAGCCATAACACTATTCAATTTGGTGACATTAGTGATGTAATAATATGTCAAAAGATTTTTCTGATTAATTTTATTACGAAACAACACGAAATGCGATTTTTGATTACTCTGCGAATGTGACGCGGGCCACAGATAATGAAGCGGTGGGCCACATGTGGCCCGTGGGCCTGGGTTTGGACCACCCTGCGCTAGAAGGTTATTACTTTAAGGTATTTCCAAAATTTTCTGTGGGCTCCATGTGATTCTTTTTTTTTGTGTGATGACGCCATCGAAATAAAAAATTGCGCACCTTGTGGGCGGTTCCGCGTTCGGGTTAGCGTCATTGCGATTAGCGGTTTGCGACTGCATGTCAGCGGATCCCGTATTACTCGAAAGAGTTTTTTTTATGATGACACGGTAGGCAACAGGTCTAGTGTAGTGGTTCCCAACTGCCGGTCCGCGAGAAATTTCGTTTTGTTGTTTTTCTGCCGTCTCAATAGCTTTACCAAAGTCGAAAAGACGAAGTTACGTTGGTTTATTACGCAAGTTCTCTTCCGTCGTCACATTACTATTTGATAATTGCTGTATTAATGGCCCCTTTTACGGTTCCGATTCATCGCAAAAGGGCTCCGTCAAGCTTGCAAGATTCAGAAACCTGAAAATCAGCATGCGTTCTTTTTCCGTTTTGCTTACTTTTCTTGATTAATAAGACGAAGTTACGTTGGTTCATTACGCAATTTCTCTTTCGCCGTCATATTGCTGTTTGATAAGTGCGGTATTAATGGCCCCGGCCCGGCGAAATTTTAGCACCGAGTAATCAAACTTTTCGCTTTTTTGGTTCCGATTCATCGCGAAAGCGCTTCGTCAAATCTGGCAAGATTCAGAAACCTGAAAATCAGCAATCGTGCTTTTTCCGTTTTGCATAGTTTTCTTGATTAATGAGACGAAATTACGTTGGTTTATTACGCAATTTCCATTTCGCTGTCATATTGCTGTTTGATAAGTGCGGTATTGATGGCCCGGCGACATTTTAGCACCGAGTAATCAAACTTTTCGCTTTTTTTCGCAACTGCAGAGGGATTGGTATGATTAAACCTCTACTTTACAGTCCAGATTTATGAAATAATCATTGTCATAATTCATTCTTGAGCTCTCAAACTGTTTTCCGAATTTCCAACCAGTTTCTTCTATAGCTTTAATTAAAACGAAGCAAATAAATCGGCTGTGAGCCGCTGCAGAGCTACGTGTTGCAAAACCTTTTTTTGATGCTACATTTGCAATCCTGTATTAGAAACGGAACAGCAGCAAAAGTTGAAGGTAATTGTGTTTGTCTATGATTTGGCATGTACATGTTTTTATGTGGTATGTGTGCCTTTTTACGTATAATGGGTGCCCACCTCTGCATTTTATTATGCAAATATATGTTATTATTTTATGTCCCATCCATTTCAATTTTTGCCCGGCACATTATATGATAGTTTTTCTTCATGTGAAATGTTTTTAGGTGTGCCTTTTTTTTCTAAAGGCATAGTGGTCGACTATGGTGGCCCATCGTTGTCACGTGTAAAATTTAAAAAAAAAATGAAAAAATAAAATGAAAAAGCGAAAATAAAAAAATAGTTGTGAAAAAACATAAAAATAATTGAAAAAAAAAGAAATAAAAAAAAAATTGAAATTAAAAAAAAATTGAAAAAAAAAATAAAAAAAATTAAAAAAAAAAATTAAAATTAAAAAAAAAATTAAAAAAACAAAAAAACAATTGGATAAAAAGAAAATACAAAGGTTGACAACGATGGTCCGCCTCGTGGCCCATCGTTGTCACGCGTTTTTATTTTTGGAAAATTTGATGCTGCTTGGGACCAACGTTGTCAGGCTTAATCCTACGCGCACAAATGGGTTTCCTGGGTTTCTAACTCACTACTGATTTTCATGAGCAATATCCAATAAATTCAACATGAAAATGTTCTATAAATTCTCCATGCTACAAGTTCAACCACAAGCAATATATTTATAATAATGATAAGAGAATATAGAATTGGATACGAAAATTTGTTTTTACGTGTAGAAGATAATTTAATTGGAAAATGCTGCTTAACTGCTCAGACACCCGTGCGATGCCGGTACGGTACCGTCTGACCGTACCGGTACCCATGCAATCACTCGTGAAAGAATGGGAGATACGGATAGTCTCGTAGAATATAGTCTACTGAAACACTCTCTGCGCCTGCCCCATACCGTACAGCCGTAACGTACCGATCCAGACAAATGATAAATCGCCCGTGCTCAACCATTTATTTCAATCCATACCTCGACTCACTATATTCTACTAGGATCGAGGTATGGATTGAAATAAATGGGCCTTTTAAGTTCTTCAAAAATGTCAAAAAGGACCTCCTGAAGTATGCGCACCAAGATGACTCACAACCTGAACTCAGATTGTGTACCAGGTTAGGGTTCGGGTTATGCGACATCTTGGTGCGCATACTTCAGGAGTACCGGGAAAAGATTCGACCCCTAATTTATTAATATGTTGCCAAGTGTCAAATTTACAGCTCCAGTATATATAACTTGTGTTTGAAATTTAGATTTATGTATAACTTGTATTAACCCTATTAAAAAAGGTTCAGCATTTAACTGAAGTAAAGTACTTCTAACTTGCTCAAAAAGATTAATCTGAAAGTAACAATTTTAGCATTTATTTTGGGGCTCCGTGAATAATAGTCAACCTTTTCAAGGGCTCCGCAACACCAAAAGATTGAGAACCCCTGTCTTATTTCTTCTCCGCCACCACGTGGTGACATGTTATTGATTGCCGTCTTTCAATTATTAATTTTATACTTTGACTTCTGCGGAATTTGCATCATTTTAAAGACATATCTTCAATAAGCTCACCAACATTTTATACGTTTTGACTAACGCTAAACTACTAAGTATTTCTATTTTAAAGTCTGAAAGATCAACAGAAATTGTATTTTCTTATATACAGTAGTTTTCATTTGATGCTAAACTATACCTCTAACGCCACTGCTTATTTTCATTATATTGAAGCTGTAAAATGACTTCAAATTTTCGATATCATTCCAGAAACAATTGGGCAGACAAATTAAATCACGATATACTTTACTTAATCATATTCGAAAGAAGTTAGTAAAAACAGTAAAAGGCACAAAATCAAAACGAACAATAAAGGCGACGAAAAGATAAATGTAATATTTGTCCAAGCAAAACAAAGAAGTCGCCATGACAACAACAAAATTGTAGCGAGATTAATGTTTTTTCAGCCTCCACAAATGGGCGATAGCTTTTTGTATTTTGTTTGACAAAATTGATTTCGTTGATCTTTTAATTTCGTAATCACTACTGAACTTACTTGTATATGCTATTGTTTGAACGTGTCTAGTCATAGAGAATAAAGTATGAACTATGTTGATCCACTAATTCTGCTAAAAGATAGTTTTATCGCGAAATGCTCTTTAAAATTATAAATATTATGAATAGAACTTACACACAAAGTCTAGCAAGATAGTGCTACATCTAAATATTTAAATGAAAATTTACTCTTTTCAAGATAACTAAAGTCACATGCAACATCAAATTTTATCTTTTTCCTAGTACAACAAGTTAGAAATCAATGGCAGATATTGTCTTTTAATACTGTTCACAAACATCGTCATTTCGAATGATTCAAAGTGTAGCCATCTGCCCCATGAAAACAGCAGCGACAAGGAGAACGGACCTGTGAAATATAAAAACAAACATTGATAAATCAAGTTCATGACATTAAAAAACATGGGAAATGCACTTCAACTCATTCATTCAACTTCAACTCATTTATAAGTGTAGTGTACGTATTTAAAATTTGGGTTATACAAATCAAAAAATAGCATACATCCAAATATAATAGAAAAATTATTCAATTGTATCAAATTCGATTCGATTAATATTCGATTATATCTATGCGTAATGAGGATTGTATAACCATAATATATATTTATATTTAAATGTACAATAATGTGATAAAAAACAGGATTTGACATTTAAAATTGAAGTTTATACTAGTACATAAAGAAGGAACATTGAAACAGAGATTAAAAAAAGCATACCAGCTCGACATAACCATTGGGTAGAATCCACTGGATGTAGTTTCCACTTGTGGTTGTGACGAGGGCACCATGGCCTTCTTAGTGGTTAATTCAGACTCCGAGTCAACTTTGGCCATTTTTGTTGTTCCATCTACCGGCTCGGGAGTTCCCATTGTTTTACTTTCCATCACATTTACTTTTTCTGTAGTTGGCAAACCTGGGGTAGTAGGTGCTGGTGTCTGTGTCTCGTTTATGGACGGTAGTGGTATATTTTTCAAACTTTCTTCCACTCCAAAGTTGACAACGAAGTTGATTTTGTTTGCTGAGGATGCTCTCCAATCGTGATAAGATATGATACCTCCTGTTAGCAGTTTGTTAATTTATGTAAAACATATCATAAAAGGGGACCATTACATACTTTTGTGGCAAAATCCACTTTTCATGAATACCAAACTCGAACATTAACGATTGAAATTTTTGAAAATATATTCCTTTCAAATTTCAATTTTTTTTTAATTTTGTCATTCTGAATTATTGGGTTAGATTGGGTTCAAGTAATTTTACAGAATGTATTAAAAACTGGCTACACTATTTGAAATAAGGTCATGGCTAAAAGAAACAATATTTCTAATTTCACACACAATAAGTATCAATCACAATGCATCTCTGACGATTTGTTAACTAATATATCTTTAGATTAAAATGTACTTTGTTTGTATGAATAACGTAAAATGCATACCGTCCAATTTTCCTTGTGCAACTAACAAATGAAATTCTGTTGAAGACAAATTAAATTGACGATCAGTGTCACCAACCGTTTTTGTAACAGACAAAGGTCGAGTGAACTTGCAATGAAGAGATCCATTCACGACAGCAACTTTTTCCAAAGTTAAACCTTCCTATGAATTAGAAAACACCAATAATTTGTCATAAATAAAGTTTGATGCGTGCGATGAATAGTTGGTAACCCGCAGAGTAGTTTTTAATAACCGGGCCAGCAAAATCGGCTGAGTATTGAAATATATACATTGCTAATAATGTTTTTCTCCCAAGTCGTGAAATTAATAAATATACCCTGAGAAGTCATCTTGCTTTATCCGGTACCGTGAACTGACGTATTATCCAGAATAAGTTAGTCTTTGAGGCCATTATGCAAATTAACAAAGTCATCACATGCAGAATAACATTGCTTGAATTCCGTGTTACAGAATCAGGACGATTTTACGTCATCTCGCGAAGAATATAATTTCGTATAATTCTAAAATTGTCAGGATTTTTTGTTACCACAAAAGTGCGTGAACATTGAACAAAAATTTGGTGATACTGTCTTCTTCCATTTCAATCATACATAGAGTAAACCAGAAGCGGTCAGAATAATACTTAGATCACAAAAATAGAGCAATGTGATAAAATGTAATACTCACCTCGAGTGGAAGTTCCAGGGGCTGGTTGTATGGCTGGTCGATGAAACCGCTTCCGAGTCCACTATTTGTGCAAAAATACAAGTCTGCATTTGTCATCTTGGAGGATGTTCCTAGTGCAACAGCCATATATGATGGTTCTGACGGGAGCTTTCCACTTCGAAGTTCAATGTCGATAGAGTCTGGAGCATCTGACTGCAATTGAACACGTTACAATTTTATTAACCAAGCAATTTCAAGACATATCGTGGCTGCGCGATGTGGTGATTTCTGTCCATAAACGTGATCAAATTATGCGCCATGCAAATTACATGGGATACATCATTCCAACATCCTGAAACTTATGGGAATATAAGAATGTGATTGATTATTCAACTCATTTGTAGTAGAATGGGTCTAATTAATTAATAAATTACCTGTTTTTATGCAAAAAGTAAAACATATACAATGGCAAATGTGGCACACACGCATATGAAGAAATAAAAAATTTGTAAATATTGAATTACTTGCTATAAATAATGAATTAATGCTAAAGCAAATATATATGAGCTTCATGTTATTCATCTCAGAAGGCCTACGCTTAAAAGAATCTTGAATTTGTGTGAACAAAACAGCAAAATCTCGTTTTACATAATGTATGAACCTGAAGTTTGACAGGCGGGCATATTACTATGTGTATGATATTTTGTTCATTTAAAGCAATAAAAACAAAAAATGGGCTCATATTGATGTCTTACCAATGACCAAGCAGTAAATCTACAGTCAGAATCAGAGTTGATATCGCATTCCATAGGAAAATATACACATGATTTCAATATTCCACACCCATTGTCCGTCACAAATGCTTCTGACATTATTGCCCCAAATACGAGGAAGGCACCAAGAACGTAATTCATATTTAATTTATAAGTTTTCTATATCAAATACCTGAAATGACAACATTTTAGTTGATACTGTAAAATTTCGGTTTTGGTATTTAATATATACGTTTGAACTCTGAGTCTGATGGATACAGTGACTTGCAAACGTTGTACATCCAAGACAAGCAGCAACAAGTCTCAATATCGTTCTCAATTTCTCTGTATGTCATGCTTTGTATCAAATTTTACCGGTACATCTGACATTTAAGGCATAATCAGATCAAATATCTAGGCTACATGGCAAGCGCAGACGACATAAATGACACGACAATATCATGCTCTCTTTGACGTATACCGGTATATTGAATTTTTACGATCCAGTAGGCCTACTACTCTTTTAGGAAATGGTTGGATTATTAGGTCTCGTAAGCAAACTATAAATAAAGGAATTTTTAAACAAGGAAAATGCTTTCCAGCTAGAACACGAAATTAGAAACACTTTTTGCCATGATTCTTTATTTAAATATTATTTATACATTCTCCAAATGACTCAGGACGAGTACCAGCACGACAAATTTTGTCATTTAACATTGCTGGAGAAATTGGAAACTTCAAACTTTTAATTCTTTTTAAACTTGAAATTTCAATTCAAGTCAAAAACTCTGCTTTGATGCACTTTCCAGCAAAAATCGGTTCTTATAACATAAGTCTACCTTCAGCTGAATTCCACAAACTGCCTAATTTTGCCTAACTCATGCATAAAGACTCCTATTTCTTTCCTTCATAAATAAGTGATGACCTGTGAAAACAATTCTAGCCAAATTGCTCGTCCCGAACTCAGTTCAACTGACCACACCCAGGCCTGAATTTGATCTTATATCTCCTGCCGCTCTTTGCCAAATTTAAAACCTCTTTCTCTCAACTCATACGCCGTTGCGTTACGTAGTTAGTACCGCGTGATTCTTCTCTGAAACCTGAATAGGCGTTGAACCCCCTCGGGCATTTTGCACCAAGCAGATCAAGTGGGCTAGACTAACGAACTCTTCGCGTTCTAAATATTTAATTGCAGGTGTATGTTGGTGATCAATTTTGAGTTTGAATTACCAACTGCGTATACTCATCTCCAACCTTGGGCCTGAAATAAATCATCGTTTTTCATTGACAGTCCAACCATGGGTAATAATCATTTAGTTTGTTAAAAGACAATGCGGCATTTTCAAAGTTTACGTAAGATATTACGATTACACAATACTTTGTTCTTGTTATTATTTTTCATTGCGCTATTGTTCCATTCATGATAACGAATTGACAGCTATGTTGATAAATAATATCTTAAGTAGACGATAATAGGAGTTTTCCTACATGGAATTAAAAACTAATTATATTTGCTGTTTTAGTTATTAAAACCTGCTTCAATAAAATTGTTATACACAAAGAAAGTCTTATATATGATAATTGTTATGCATGGGATTTGAACCTGGATTATTTAACCACTAATTAGTTCATTGCACTTTCTGAGGATCTAACGATTATAATATGCCGTATAGGTAATTGTAATTTTTATTAAGAGCAATCATTTTTGCTGGAATGAAGGTGAAAAGGCTTTTCATATCACGTGACAATTATGAAGTTCTGATCGATGCGTGTAAAGGATATATATACAGTTTAATAAATATATATGGTATATATACAGTTCAATAAATATTTTTTAATTTTTTTAACATTTTTTTAGGCGGACAGCATGTTTCCTTCGTATCTGGCAGTCAAAGATCAACACTAGGCCAAACGTATTTTGAAATTAATGTCAAATGATATTATTACAATTCCGCAATACGATAGGCTGTCAAGGCTATGCCTATACAATCAAAAGAATGCATAAACCGCCAATTCACACGTAAATATGTACATTCAAACTACTAGCTAACAACCAATGCTATATGCATCAGGGGGTATATACAGTGGTGGGATTCAAATTTTTTGTCAGCTGGTTCTATCACAAAAGTCACATTTTTCAGCCGGTTCTGTTACAAAAAGTCATATTTATTTAGTAAATGAACCAGTAATGCTAACCGGTTCGCTGATCTCATGAAATTCCGCGAGACGGTTCTATAGAACCGGTGCGAATCGGCTGAATCCCACCACTGGATATATACCTAACAGCCAATCGAGTTTTATGCATGTACAGCCGTGTGCTTGCGTATTTTTACAACTTACGCGCACGAAACAAGCATCCACTGGATGATGACACCATCTCTTCACACTCAGAACATATTGGAACACTGCAATTTAATCCGTACAAAATGTATTATAAATAAGAATCATTATCACGTTTTGTCCGCGAAGCTTCTTCATAAACGTAAATACTTCGCGAAATAAACAAAATGAAATGATCTGTTCATACACATAGCTTGAATTGCTGTTTATGCATAGTAGTTTATATGCATATCCAATTGCCTGTTAAGGAATATTTGATCGATTATAAATGAACATATTGGCTGTGTACTTACGTATCGTTACCTAACTACACTAGTAGAATGTGTTGTTCCTCACTTTTGTATAGACTTTCTATATCCATCCTCTACCTATATATACATGACATCTGGGATAAAAAATTAATAATTTTCCTGGTATTCTGCTGAATTGTACGTTATATTTATGTTCGAAAACTTCATTTTATTACGTATCAGAAAAAAAATGAAACGAAATTATCACGGTTTACTTGCCTATAAATATTACTAATAAGAAGAAATTTGTTAAGCATTGAAATATATATAATATCGATTGATTTATCAATATTTTTGTCTTTAAATGTTAATTTTTAAAATTACAGACTCAAAAATGAAATAACTGTTTTTTTAATTATCGGCTGATGTTGTGCTTGAGTCAGTCAAAATAACAGTATTTTAATTATTATGTGATTATGGATTTTTTTGTAAGTAACCAGCGGTCGTAACCATATACTAATATTCATTAGACCTCATGAATGATATAACGAACGCTTTCTTGAAAAGTGTGAGAACAAAAATTCAGTGAAATATCAGTGATTCTGTCGTTTTTGGGTATTTTTGTACTCGTGCCCAATGTCAAATATGTCTGAGACGATTATATAATTCAGACAGACGTGACTGAAATGTTGTAAAGTCTGCGTTTATGGTAATAATAATCTTAAGTTCGTATCAAATTCATAGCTTTAAGACATTTAAAAGTTATTTGACATAGACGAAAAAACGTTGTAACAAGCATTGTGATTACGTGATCGTAATTCATGTCTGTTTCATGTGAGACTATGCATAACGCTGTAACGAATATTTCTGATTGATTGGTTGATATGGCCGCCATGGAAACTTTTGTGTATCTAAAATGTATAAAATACAAACGATTACCGACACGATACTATCCTGATGTTAATATCATTTTTATGTTCTTCTTTGGCTAAAATTAGCTCAAGTTATCTAGTGTATTCTATCTGGTGGTTTCAAGCTGTATAAATTCATTATATCACTGAAATTCGCAGTAATTTTTGCCTGGGCCGAATCTGTGTCGACTCTGTCATCAATAGTAGTGCTTTTCCGTAGCCCATACTGCACTGTCAATATTTTGAGATGTAAATGGAATACATACATACGTTCAAGAAATATACGTTACGTTTGTTACATATTCCTTAATACATATTTATTGATGTTCTTTCGATAATAGCTTTACTAGAACCGTACAACTCGGATGCAAGAATGTAACATATTCTTACATAACTACTGTGTTTGAGACTGAAGATAGGTTCTAACAAAGTAAAGCTTGGACTAGTCTCCTTGTAGATGAGACTGAATATAAGACGTTTAAATGCCTTAACATAGGCTTAATATTTGAGCCGTGATCTCACAATCAATTTTATGTTGAGTCGATATGTCGTACTCGATATTATGTTTTTTCTTATTCGGCAAGATGCGGACCTATGGATCCGTTTATTAATATTCTGTTGTTGTTGGAGTTGTTCTTTTTCTTCATTTTAAGTATAAAACTCAGGCATTTTCTTGCACATCCAATTTAAAAATAATTTTTTCGATTGTATTTAATCACGCCGTCTCACTCATCACATGTAGCCTGCGCGGATATGACTATTCCGTTAACTGTTTTGTTTGTTATTAAACTGCACGTTATCTGAATCCAAAGTGAGACCTCTCTCATGATTATTGGTTAATAGGAGTTGTTGTTATTGGACACGTAGTGGACATAACGATCGTTTCAATATTATGTTGGTCTTGTTGTTGTTGTTCTTTGACACTTTTTGGACATCTAGTGGAAAATCTAAAAAACCGCTTCTCTCTTTCATTACTGGACCGATTGCTTCGAAATTTTTACTGGTTAAAGATGAAATTTTTCTCTAGAAGGCTATTACTTTTATTTATTTCAAGTATTTCTGTTAGCTCTGTGAGATTTGTTTTTGTTTGCTATGACGTCACCGAACGTTCTGCGGACGCACAGCCGACACTCCTCTTCTTTTTGATCACGTGCCATCGAACGTCGATGGTTCGTAACGAAGTCCTTACGGTACTTTGCTACGATTTTTTCCTTACGCTGATCGACGGTACGGTAAACCGTACTGTACTGCGAACAGACGTGTCCATATATTTGGGCGTAGCTCTCTTGTTTATATAGGGTTTCTCCACCGCGACGTTCATGTATTTCTCTTTTGACTTACTCTCTCGATTCGATTTACGTTTCCTAAATTTTCCTCTGAACGTATTCAAATCTAGTTAAATTATTTGACGTTTTTTACGTCATCTGCTGCCTAATGCCTAGCATTCATGGTGTCGCTGACACAATGACTGGGTAGTCTTTCGCGGCTCCTCGTCAATTGCAGTCGAAACATTAGGCATCTGTTTTTTTTTTTACTCGTCGATTTATTATTGTTTGTGTTTACAATGTTTCATGTACGACAAAAATAAATTATCTTAATCTGAATCTGAAACTGGTTAAATATTTCAATGCCCGACATGGACAGGCAATTGCACGGGTGGCCCTGATTTGCCATAGGAATAAATTGTCTTATCGGATTTTCACTCCCCAGGCATAAATATAAAAATTCTATCTTATGGTTATACTGATTACCTTATCACTGTTTGATTCTGATAACCATTTATAGCATGGTATCGCGGATCTTACTCCGTATTTAGTACATCATGAGTTCTTAAACTTTTGATGTTACGGAGCCCTTAAGGGCGCTGGCTATTATTCACGGAACCCCAAAATCAATTTTTAAAATGGACCAAACAGAATACACATTGTTACTTACCGATTAATGTTCCTGAGTAAGGTAAAATTACTTTACTTAACTCAAATGCTAAACCTTTTTTAATAGATAAAACAAGCCATAAATAAATCTATATTTCAAATATAAATTATATGTATTAAGGCTGTAAATTGGACACTTGACAAAATATCAATAGGTTTGGGGCCGAACCCCCTCTCTTCTGATATATGTTTGGAAGACTGAAAAAGTTGCTAATAACGTTCGCCTTTGCAATTTGTTAAAATCGCCAATTGTTTTCGTCAGCGTGACGTGTTTTTTAGACCGTAAATATCTCTACGTCGGTGTTTATTCCCTTAAATCACACATTTCACTCATCATATGCATGTCCTTTTTTGTTCTCGTGCGGAATTGTGAGGTCAGTGTTAAAAACAAGTTAATATCTACGAAGTGCTAAAAGTAATTAATAAAGAGGTGAATCCGCAACCCAAATTTCTTGAGTGAAAAGCAGCACTATAAAATATAAAAACTAAAACCTAAAACGGAAGATAAAACCTTAAGACTCTCGACAGACTAAAAACACTTTTTGCACATTGTGAATCACAAAATATGGTGTCATGTTAGGTTTTCTCTAGAAACTATATCATAGTCACTGAAATCGAAACCCAGTAAATTGTGCGCGCGATGTAGGCTACTTTTTTATTCATCCTGAAACTACTGACCCTGAAACTACCGAGCCACATGCGACTTTTTCTCGGATATGTACACACAGTATATACCGGTACACATATATACAGGTATAAGTGTGTGTCGGTGAGAGACGTTTTTTTTTTCAGAAATCGAAATAAACATGAATTCCTCTCATTCGGTTACCCAAGCATCGCAAAACCAGATCCGAAATAAACAGCAATCTTGCAATAGTAAGGTTGAAGAAAATGTAAAGAACTGTGGTAAATCCTACACTACGATATCATAGATTTTACATAACATAACATTGTTATGCATTGTCTCTGATGATACCTTCGGTCTTTTTACTCGTATGCAGAAAAACTCGCACTGCGTCGTTTACACGCTAGGTGGCGTAAGTGCTACTGTTTACATTTGCTACAGCAACGACGTCGGAGCACACAGACACAGATCGTACGGTACCGCTCGCATGAATGTTTGGAGGATTTCTTAAATGAACGGTATAATTAAACATGAGTATGAGTCGTTTTAGTGTAAAAGAAGATGATCCATTGATTGAACATGATGATGCATTCTCTGAAAGGTTTGTTAGTTACTTCAGAACTGGCGGTACCGGTAGGCTACCGGTACTGTTTCCAGTCTGGTTCAACTTCAAAGAACAGACTAACAGATGAAATACCGAAATAAATTAACTTCGAATTACGTTACCTAGGGTCATATTTTAACATTTATCTCTGCCTATCAGAAATAAACTGATAAGATGAAGAAATAATCAAGTTCTTTATAATTTGATAAATGCACCTTGTCGACGTGCCAGAAGCCCTCCTTTCAGAGACAAATAGAGTGTTTGTTTTATTGAACGAAAAGTCTGAATGCTGGGAATCTGAGAACTGTGCCGCACTTGCTTTTTTCCAGTAATTACGGGTTACAGCCACAGGTACTGAATTATGAAGACCCTTGCATAGAGGAATGACTTTCAGACTTTATTCAAAACAATTAGGCTACTGCTTCTTTTACAATGTTTTTTATTTCTTTTTAGGCAAGGTGAAGCCTTTCTTCAATTTGACAATGCAATATTTGATGATGATAATAGTGAGGATGATGTTGATGATGAAAACATGGAAGATAAATTTCCTGTTAAAGAACAAACTTATCCTGGAAGAAAACCAATGATAATAGATGCCATTTGTCACATCATCGAGTATTTTCAAGTAAGAGTAGTAGGAAAATAGGCATATGCTTGATATAGTCAATTCATATCTGGCCCATTGTGCTCAAAGGCTGAAGGGTATTACTGTATTAGTAGCATGCTCACAACACCACATACAATATATTCGGGTCTGGTATAGTTTATTACCACAAGTACTAGTGGGCATGGCTGGGCAATTTATGCGTATGTCATTCCTAACTTATGGTAGAAACTCCCGTTTGACTATGTTGTCCAAATATGTCGTCACTTTGATGCAATAAGGTCTGCCAAATGTTTGATTTTTACCACGAGGGATCTGGGGTCCACTATAAAAAGCCTGAAATTTTGGCTCCTGGATCTGGCATGTTTCTGAAACATCACTTGTTAGACTGGTCACCACCTTTAGGTTCAAATATCTCCTGATTGATTATTTCCTATGACTTACTAGTCACTACTCAAACTATTTCCATTTATCCAACTATTCCCATGCATGAGTTAGACTTGTAAATGGATGTGACTATTCCATGATTGGGAAATCTTGTTAGCTCCATTTAGAAAATCAATAAACTTGTGATAGAATATGTTGATAGTTGCTTTTTGTTCGGGATACCAGAGAGCAAGTCATTGGAACTCCACTATTTATATGAAATTTTTCAGAGCTGTAAAGTGATCAACAAGGAAATAGATGAGTTCAACATGTTTCAAAGGAACTTATTAGAAGATGAATGTTTAAATTTTTGGAGCCCATTAGTTGAGCATCAGCCTTGATTATTTGAAGCAATGAGCTGAGAATTGATATCAAGTTTCGAGAGAAAACCATTCCAGGAAGTTGTGAAAAGGAGGAATTATGATGTTTTCAGAGCGGAAATGCAAAAATATTACTATGTATTAGTTAGTTATTATTTTGTATTACCGGTAGTTTATTATTAGGTTTTCAGGGAGGAAATACAGTAATATTTTAGTATTATTGTTTAGGTATTTGGTATGATTGTTATGAATATTTGTGCATACTCAACTATGCAAAAGCCATTACCATGGACCGTTAAGAGAAACAAATAACAGAAACAAAGTTTTTATGCATCGTGAGGTGGGAAAAATGATATCCAATGAGACAAGAAAGAGATCCAAAATAAGAAAGGAGAAATATATCAAAAAAGGTTGGAAAACCCTGCATTTGATCATCATAATCATAACTACTGAAAGAGAGTCACAATATGATAAAGCAAAAGATTAGGTAATGGATGAGTGTGTTTTGAGTTTTTACTCATAAGAGTTGTAAGTTGGAGAAGGGGTTGATTAAATATTCATAGCAAAAAAATGTGAATTTGTGATTTGAAATATGCAATTAATTAGGTGGAATGGTTCTCGCTAATGGCATGACCCATTACCTTGTTTGTGTATCCCTTTTGAATATGACAATGACAAATCTGAAGGTAACTTGTTGTTAAAAAATTCCGAATCTATGGAAAAAGCTGTTATTTGTTAGGAATTTCATATGTTGTCAAGAAATCTTCGTTATTATATATCAGAGCTATCTGAATTTGATTACAACCCAATTATACTCATTATAAATCTTACTAGTAATTAGTGGAGTGATTTTAAATTATTTCACTGCCTACTGAATACACTATCCATGCAATAAAGAGTTAAATTGTGGGAAATCATTATGTGGGCAAACATGATATAATATTTATTTGTTTCAGTATTTTGCATTGATTCAATCACTGTCTTTGAGATGGACATGGCCTCTTACGTGGACAACATCTACAAGTTTCATGTTTTTCTTTAATCTTGACTTATGGGAATTCACAAAAGTTGCAAGTGGAGCCTGGCAAGCATCAAGAAATTATATTGTGCCTAGTGCTAATGTGCCTTTCAACTTCAAGTAAGTTCGGTTTAAGTAAATTATTTTTGAGTCATTTAAAGTTGTAGGCTATATTGAAACCTGTATGTTTGGTAGAATTGCTGACTTTTCGCCTCGAATCAGGATAAAAAAGATCAGTGATTCTAAAAGTAGGCTAAAGAGTTACAATAGGTGGTAAAAAATCTACCGAGGTTTAGTGGGCGATAGTGCATATTGAAACGTCAGGACTATCACGAAACTTGTTTTGTTAATGTTCTAATTGTAAAATGCCATAAAAACCTGATTTTCTAATGCAATGATAACTTGTTTTGTGGAGGGTCAGTTTAGTTCCGCCATAGACATTGTTTCATTAACTGAAACTTGTTTGATTCTTTCATTTCCAACAAGATTTTCTGATGTGACACTATTGCTATCAGATCATAACAAAAAAATTGACTTTCCATAATTCCATCAGCCAATTGTCTTGTTGATACTGTACTTGACTGAAGTGTTCATGGAAAATGAAATGCATGAAAAGAATATTCTCTTTTAATGATTTTGGGTAATAACATGGCATCATCCTTTATTTCGCGCACCTATTACTTTTTTTCTAACAATCATCTGGTATTTAGTTATTGCAGATAGATATGGGCAATGATGATTTATAAATAGTGTCGTAAGAGGGTAATGGTACTCAAAAGTTTAAGAACTACTGATATAGGTCACAAAGATTTTGTATTTATTAATACATTTTGAAATGTAGATAAGTGACACACAGAGTGGATAAAAGTGAATTCTTATCATGTTTTTGGACACGTCAGTGTACATAACAATCGTTTCAATATTATGTTGTTGTTCATGTTAGTATTATTCTTCTCTTTCGTAATGATGGAATCGGTTTTCTCTTCGAATACTGGACCAATTGCTTTGAATTTTCAGTGGTTAAAGATTGATTTTTTGTCAGAAGGCTATTACTTTCATATATTTCAAAAATTACTGTGGACTTCAAGAGATTCGTGTTGTATGTGTCAGAATAAAACATAGCGACACCTTGTGACGTGTCCATATATTTGAGCACAGCTCTCTTGTCTTCACTTTGTGAAAAGATAAAATTGAAATTTTTTCATTTGTTATTCGAAATTATGTTATTTTCAGATGGTGGCTGGTAATGTGGTTTGTTGTTCTTGTCTTCATTGTCATAGTTTTCTTTCTAACTTATCGATATTTGAAGAAAAGGGAAGCATCGAAAGCAATCGTCGCAGGAACGGTACTGCAAAAAGTTGCCATTGCATTGGCTCAGGTATGGCAAGTCTATTCTTGAGTCTGGGATTCATGCCTAGATGAATACCAATTAATTTGTACCAACCAATGAATGTGGCATATATAGTTTGATTTAGTCTTGATAAATTTATATTTGGAAAAGATGTGGTGGTGGTAAATTTATCTCCCAACTGGCGACAAACATGCAGACAGGCTTTGCTATTTAAACAGGTGGACAGGCCCCTTGCCAGTCTGAAAAATATTGAGTTTTTATTAACCATTCAGTATCGTTAAATAATTAACCATCGGCCTAATTTTTTAATTGTCAAGTTTACAGCAAACTTTTTAATTTTACTATAGGCTAAATTTTTTGGATACCACCCAACAATTTTACCTTCTAATTTCTTGGTTTTCCACGATGTGAGATAAAAAGCGTAGGTATTCCAGACCAAAAAAGTTTAAGAAACGCTGCCCTACACAATTTATTACACCTTAGGTGAGTCAGGTTGAACCCCTAGATGTATGTAATCCGCAATCTACAGACAACCATCCTTCAACTAACCAGAAAATGGTTTTATAAATTTGATTTATTTGTCTCTAGGTTTTAGCACTTCCCATTGGTGTACAAATTGGAAAAGTATTTTGGTGCAATCCTATTACACATGTCTGGAATGTTGACAATGATGTTACATGTTGGAGTGCAGAACATCTTATTTTTGTTATCATTTCATTGACAGTAGCAATTCTTGTTTATCCTGTCTATGCTTTTTGGCTATACAGACTCATAAAACAACAAGTACGGTAATGGAGATCATTTTTATTTAAAAACTTATGTTATTTATAACAGAATTTATTGCTGAGATTGTGTGGTTGATAGCCATGATATTCTTGATGGATTTAGGGGATTCAGATTGATCAATGCAGGGGTGTGCAACCTGCGGCTCTCAAGGAAAAATTGTGCGGCCTGCGAAGAAGTGCCAATCTTGAATAATGTGCAGTCCGCATAACTAGCTTTTTAATTTAATTTGGTACGTGCTTGTAATTCCAAAACCTTTGTGTTGCAAAGCATATACCCGAGTCCAATTTATCATCTATGCCTAAACAGCTATCATGCGCAAATAATGCATGTCACAATATCAATAACCAAAATACCAGATAGCCTATGTTAAGGTGTATTTCTATTTGACCCTCCTGTATTGAAGGTTGTACACCCCTGGATTAGTATATTAGCATTTTTTACATTGCTAGTTAAAGATCTCATGTTTGAGGCTTTGAGCCTGAGTCGTTCGATTCTTCAACCTGATTTTACTACACCTAATGTTTATTCAGAAATATTAAATTGTTCCTGTTTCATTAAGTTGCTCAATTGCTTGAAAAATTTAAGCTTCTTATTCAATATTTAGGTTGTTACTTTCAACCATCGACGTCATGAGGCATACCTACAACTGAAAGATTGTGAACATAGATTTGGACTCCACAATGCCTGGACATCAAGAATATTTGTTGCATTTGCATCCTACAGAAGGAGATGGGTGTATGCACGTCCTATCGGTCACTTACTGAAATTTTATACCATCATCTTCTATGCTGCCTTATTTAATTATAGGTAAGATTGAAATAATCACCAATCAATCCACCAATTCACCACATGAGAAATGAAAATATTCACAAGCTCATTCATCCTGTGCCTGAGCAATTTCCAAATCTAAATTTAGTATTTTAATCAATATAGACATAATGAACCCTGTTTTGTTTGATTCTTGTATTGTTTTACTAGTAACAACTGTTGTGTTATAATTGCATTCAATTGCTACTCTCTGCATACTGATAAACCTGGAGTTAGGAAGTTGTAATATACAAAAATAGATGCCGCCATTTTGCAGAGCAGTTTGTTCTACTGAGCGGTACTGTTTAATTTGTTTTTCATTTATGGCACATAATTAATTGACTGTTGTGTGTTGTAGGGCTGACATGGCGATGGTGTACATTTAAAGTCTGTGTGGTCTTTAATGGCAATATAGAGTATGGAAGGCACATACAAATAGAATGCTCGAACACCTTGATTGGTAACTTACAGATGAGGTGACCATTACAGCTCTCTGAATGAAAACATAAATATGAAATGTATGATAGCCAGAATATTCATGTTTATGAATATAGGAATGTTTTTTACTTAATAACTTTATTATTCAGGTTGGAACAGATATCGATAATTGGTTTGATGTTCTTTCTCATGATATTTTTTTCACTCATTCCGAGGGTATACAGAGTAAGTTGTAAATATATACTACCGTACATGTTTGTGTTTGGATTGAAAATCTATTTATGTTTCAGTTTTACCTACAAATTATTTTTGATATGTGGTATAACCAAACTTTCGCTGCGGCAAATCTCATTTCTATTGCAATGTTTCAAATATCTCTTCGACTTGAAAAGTTTGGTACTTTCGAAGTATGTGAACCAAGATGGCGGACATCGAAATGTAGTATGTGTACCAGGTTGGGGTTAGGCCATAACTTTATTCCAATTTTACTTATTTTAGTTCTATTACGACTTTGGGGACTAGCCAAGTGACTCCTGTAGTATTTGTACCTTAAATTATGGCCTAACTATAACCTGGTACACATACTACGTTCTGGTACTGCCATCTTGGTTCACATACTTCAGGAGTACCAAAAATTCTGTTTAAACAAAATTGTTGTCATTGCATTAGTATGATAATGACAAATGTCGGTTGGACCGTTACTTGTTTTTTATTACATTTTCAATATAAATATTTTCCAATTATGACCATTTTATTTGTATTGTATTTTAAGTTACTGAAATATCAATGAGAAAATATGAAAATCAGTGACAAAATTACTCATATATGTTATGTCTAATATTTGAAAAATACGCTCTGCAACATAAATAATCTTATCTGTCAGCCTATGGTGCTTATGAATTAGTTTTCAATAATTCAATCTTCGAGGTAATTTAAAAAAATACATTTTAAATTCAGATGGCAAATTGTCCAAAAAGGCATTGAACTTCATTCTCTATATTCATAAAAACACCGATTTAAGTAACAATAATTATGAATTCTATTAGAGGTAAATTTAATGGGACATACAGGGTAACCTAAAAATAGAACCCAGGTCACTTGAAACATATACTAATATTGCGAGACCATAACTGTTGTGTAAACAGTCCTTAGATTACTGAAATTTTTGGAGACAATTATACACAAACAATTCCAGTGTTGAATAAATTCTTCATTTTCGTAAAAGTAATAAATAATTCATAGGTTCTTTTTTTCGAGTTAGTATGTAGTTCGTTTACAACTACTAATATTACGCATCACAACATGTATCTTGGTTGCTGGGTGAAAAGTCAATAGTTTGTCAGTTTCTATTGTCCTTCTATCAAAGGATGATCGGTTTGTTTGCATACTACGTCATCAGACATGATTTTGTATTTAAAGTAAATATGTGATATGTTGATTGTTCCAATATTGGTTATTGGTAGCCAAATGCTGATTTTGTTAGCTAAAACTTCCAATAGCCATGAACTTGGACTTGGTTTCAAAATTTCAATCAGAACCAGCTTTTACTTTCTTTTTGTAAAAGTACTTGAAAAATTAATTTGTCGCGATAAGTTTTTTGAATGGAAATGTGACAATCGAAAGAGTTTATATCATTTTATTTTTATTAAAAACTCTTTTTATCAAGCCTGCCTAGACATTTTGTTACATGGTATTTTATGAACATCACAAAAAATTATAAAACAATTTTTAGAAGAAACTGTATCGAATATTTCGGATCTATGTTATATGGATAATCTAATAATGTCAGCTATATTAGCTGGTCTGGGAAGTTTGATCTATGACAACCAGTGTTCACTATTAGCGCACTTTTTTGCGAAAATTGCGAAGCACTTTCGCAACTTTTTTTAGGGACTGCGAAACAGCACTTTTTTCCGATTTTGAAGAGAAATAGCACTTTTTTTCAATTTTGAATGGAATAAAAATTCAAAGTTGACAAATGTTTTTGTGTGCGTATTAAGTTGACAAATAAGTAAGTACTTTTGTAACTCAATTCTGCATATCATAACGATATTTACCGGAATTCTAACCTATGTGGTGAAGACATGGAAGATAAAGCTTTTGCATTAATGGCAAAATTCTTGTTTATAATATGATTATTATACAAGCACACCGATTCCGCTTCGACCGCGAAAACGCTCGGCGGCGTCTTTGAAACCAGATGTCCGAATGCAAGGCAGTGCGTTTCTCTAAACGAGAGTGGTCATGTGACTGTCAATGACATCGATGAATTGTGACCAAAGTACACGATTTTCTAGTACTGGTTTGACAGGTCTGTGTTCTCTTCTTAGTGAATTTACTGGAGCCATTCAGAAATTTCTGATACTCGACACGACATTGTTTAGTAATGGAATGTAAACTTGGGCCATTGTTTGTTAAATTAGAAGAAACTTTTAGCAGCATCTCACAGATTTGCAAAATCGCCAAATTGACAAAATACATACGTCGTATTAACATTTAACAGCCATTTTATTGTAACCACGAATGTTAAAAGCAAATGGCGTTTCGCGGAATTTTGCGATATTCAGTATTAGCTAGTCTAGTCATTCACGATAAATCAAACTCAGACCAGGGTCAAAAATCAATCTAAACTATTTCCTCATTAATATGCGAGTAGGGGTGGGCAAAATCGAATATTTTTTCGAATTGAATATTTTTAACGAATAAGGAATATTTTTTATGCACAGCAGGAGTCTAGAACGTCGGTCGAAAAATTAGCAAGGAAGCCTTTTCTACTGGTTAATTTCGTTATAATAGCTAATTGTTTTTGTCACCGCAATCGTTTTGGCGACTATATCCTGGGTTTGGCAATCCAGGCTTACGCGTGCGTTCACATCGGCAACAGCTGTTAAGGGCATCAACGACAAATTTCAAAACCAAAATAAACATTTGCGTTGACTTGATATTACCTATCAACGTTTGTAAATTTACTGTCCCAATTTTAAGCGAATGGTATTATTATTATCGATGCCGGAATGCAAATATTTAATACGATAATTAACTTTTATAATTTTTTTATGGTGTCTGTATTAATTTACAGATAAACCTCGCAAATCTGAGATTGTGCCAATCCTGAATGTTGATTTAAAATTGTGATTAAATAATTCGGCAATAAAGGCATTTCTGCGTGGCCATAAGACGAGATGACTTTAATAAACAGCACTTCTTTAAGGATATTTTACATATGCGACTAATGCTAAAAACATTGGGCTCGAGTGCTCTGGTGCCTAATCAGGCGCTAATTGCAACCAATTCAACTCAGTTTCAACGACTTTTTTCGTCTTCACGATATGTTATCTTTTTTTATTCGGTACTGATAATGATAAATAAAAAATGTGTAATTGTTGATTGCAATTCCGGAAAACGAACGAATTTAACCGCGGTTAACCGCGCATTGGAAAGCAAAACACAATTTATTAACATTACTTTACAATGAGTTACGGGTAAGAATTAACCAGACGGCTATCGCTAACATGTAGAAACAATAAATTTGAAACGATTTTGTATAAAGCGTGTCAACATCGTTTTTGTAAATTTAGAAACGTCGATAAGTAAGACAAGTAAATAATGTATTTTATGGAACTTTCATGAGATATTGGTGAGAAATATTATTTTGACCATGTCGAAATGCCATTATTGCCGATTTATTCACGTGTTTAGTTACTATCAGTGTTTTAACCCAAAGCTGAGTTACGTAAATACTTAACACTGAGTACTCAAGAGATAACCAATTTGCGGAGTTTTTCAATTATTATTTAATACGAAAGTAACACAGACACGATCTAAAATTAAAAGCATAGAAATGTCAACTATCTGCTTCACAAATATCGCATCCCGGGGTCAGTAATAATATTATTGTTCGCTTAAACTCGGGACGGTAATTTACGAACTGATACAAATCCTACACAGAAGATAAAAATCAGAACAAAATCAATTTTCGTTGTGAATGCGCTCATTAATAGTTGTCTTTAAAATCTTCGCCGATGTGAATTCACAATTCTATCCGAAATATAAAAACCAAACTACGATGTCCGCCGTTACGTGAGAATTAATATTTGCTAGTGAATAAAAACATGCTTTAATATAGTTTAACAACACGATCGCGGCGACAAAAAATTTACTGCAGCCTTCGATTATGACAAAATTATGAAATAATCATTGAATGGCAATAAAAATTTAACTTCATTAACAATAATTTTCAAGTAATAGTTTCACATTTTCATGATTTTGATCGTCGCTACATGCGAGCGTGTTTTTGTACATATAAACCATGATGACACTACTGACATCTGCGAGTTATAGATCTCTCCAAATTTAATTTTCGCGATTTTTAATGTTTCATTTCTAGATGCGGATGCCCGCTGACTACGGATAAATGGTCGATGTTTAAAAATAGGACTTCGGACCGTTGGGCAAAGAAAGGCGGGCTACACGTAACTGCGAAATTTCGCCGTGAACGACCTTACATTTTAGTTATAAACGCATTACGTCGTCGCGAATTGCAGTTTTGGTGTAATGTTTTAACTTCCCCCTAATCTCCCGTTGAAAAAATCCTGGCTGCGCCCCTGCCCGGTGATAATTCTAGCTAAAATGTTACAATTTTATTTACGGAATTTGCAAATTCACCATTTTGATAATCACGCCCTAATTATTGGTGCAAAAATACTCAAAATATCACGAATTTAATCATTTCCGATGTTACTAGGCGCAATTCATGACGGCGACAGTGTGCGTTGTTACATCGAAATTCACGATTGATTTTACGTTATACTCTTGTTCACGATTTCAACACTCCACCCGCCATGCATGGCTGAGTGGAAGGTTCACATTTTCGAAACATTACTTGGCCAAGGATGGGAGGGATCACTAACGAGCTAATTGAAAGCACATTAAAAGGATTATGACTTGTCATTTTTTTCTGGTTATAGCCTGTACATGTTATACCATGTGTGGGCTCTCGGAACGTCAATTTAACTTTTAATTTTCGACAATCAATTGTATGTGCGGCTCCTACATGAAACGGCTAATTCATGCTGCCAATATACGGAGTTTGAAATCTGGGATATTTATTTCGAATAGTCTATTTATTTTGACTCTTCTAAAATTAGGAAGCTTTGTTGGTACCTTTTTTGGCGCAAAGTATGAAATTGAAACGATACGAATATTTTGCCCAGTCCTATAGGCGAGGTTATGATATTAACGCAGAGAATATTTGTAAGCATATCACTGGATGGAAATATTTTGCACCAAGACTGTTTGCAGAAGTTGATTTATCGAATACACGGAAAGTATTTATTTATCATCTCACTTGCGAACATCGGGGTTTGGGCGGAATTATACGATTATGTTGTTGTTCTTAAATAATAACTTTTTCGATGAATGTTTATTTTACTTTTGTGTATTAATTATGATATGTTGAGTTTTCGTTTATTTCAAATTCGAAATTGTCCGGAATACTCAAACAGGTGTAATAAGTGTAATATTGATAGTATAGTGTAATCGAGTAACCAACTTAGAAGTCTTTAGAGATGTCTAATGAACTTGATGTGTTACGGGTGTCGTAACCCCCGTTTTTTTTTTATTAAATTTGATTGTTCTACCTTCCGCTTATAAAACAACATCGTTATACGGTCATCTCTCGCGACCAAATCTTTTTGTTCTGTATGGCATCACCTTAGCGCCATTTATTACCGACTGAATTTTAATTGTGATTTATGATAAGTTATTTTCTGTTAGTTGGCGCTGATAACGTGGCTAATTTCTTTATAAACATTTTTAATATGTTTAATTTTAAAATTTAAATTTTTTTAAATATGTTCCTTACGTCTCTGCTATAATTGACAAGCGATAGCACAAGATTCAGCAGCAAATGATAAGCAAAGCTATTTTATAATCATGGGTTGCTTAATAAAGATTTGCTAATTATGGCAGGATATAAAGAACATGGCCTGAAATATATAATTAACAGAACGATGTTTATTTTTCAGTCGACGAAAACCCTTAATAATAACGATTGCCGAAATCGCGAAAAAAATGAATACGGATTTTCGATTGTGATCAGATGACTGAGAGGGCACATGTTTTTTTCTCTGTTCAAAGCAGATATAAAACGAATACCATGTTGCCGAAAAGCGGTTACGTGTTATCTTTCTTTAGCCAATCAAAATAGTGGTAATGGTATATACAAGAGGTTTCTAAACTTTACAAACTCGGAACGCAATTAATATTAAAATTACAAGTAATGGTGCATGGAAAAACGAATTTGATTTTATTGAAATTGAAACGCACACACATAAGAGTTTTACATTTCATGCACAACTAACCGATGCTACATGTGAGATTTGTGCACATGAACGATTATATATCGCGATTATTTATGTGAGAATGCGTACTTCTCTTTCAACTTTAATTTCCAGGATTTCGGCGTTCACGTGGTCGACTAAAAAAGATTTATCAAATGGATTGGTATTTCGCGTCACACTCAAAATTATTTGGGAACCACTATCATGTCATTCGTTTATTTTTTACATTCATGTTTTTTTCAAGAATCACCCTGTTGTATTTCCTGTACCTTCGCAAAGGAAAACTCTTTGGTGTCATCATTACTATTAGTGTAATTGAAAGTGGCGTTGAGATGCGAATATTTCATACTAGGTCTGCAGCATTAGAGAGAGCGTTATTTATAAATGCTGGAAGTACATGGCATTTCTAAAAAAAATTGCAAATATATGATGTTTTCTACCCGATTTGAACTAACTGGCACGCAAACCAATGCAAGTCGATATTTGAAAATTACACGTCTTAGCGTAATCCGTGAGACAGTATAATATAAATTAGGCCAAGCTAGCTCATGAAAGGGATTTCAAAGTGATCTTGCATAATATTTCGGAAAAAAAATCTTCGATAGAAAGTAGGTCACTCTATCTATAAAAACAGCGGTACTTTCATGGTGATCTTGCGTTATTTCCCAAAGAAAAACTGGCCGGAGAAACATGACGTTAACCAATCTCTTAAAAGGGAAGAGGGCGGACTACTTTCAAGCATATTCTTTCGGACGAGGAAGCGTGTTATACTAAAGCGATATTGGTGATGGGTCATGGGGATGTCATTTTGCCCGGGTTTTGTACAAATGATCCCCCTCCCTAGCTATGGCCGGTAGTAACTAATATCTGCATGTATCAATCGGTGTCTGTTAGATGGAAGAAACAAGTTTGCAAGGCTTGTCTGTTCAGGCGGGAGTGCGCTTCGTTACTGACGCTGGTGGTTGATTGCACGAAACTTTTATTCCCGACAAGTGTGCTTATCAGGTGTTCTTTGATGAATTCGCTTGTTTTTAACAAGGGTTTAAACGAAACTCCGTTAACGGAAAGACTTCAATTCACAATATTAACGGAAGGAGCGCTTTTTCGAGTATCTATGCTGTTTGAAATGAGTTTAAACGAAAGCTAAAGGGCACCTAACTAGTTAAAATCAGAAAAAGCACTTTCGCACTTTCGCACTTTTTTTTGACTGCGAAGCACTTTCGCACTCATAATTTCCTTAGAGTTAACACTGATGACAACGCTAGCATATGGAAACTTCTAATCAAATCTAGTAGTAACCTTTGACCCTTATCCTAGTGCCACACAATACAATGGTTTTTCTTAATTTCTAGGTAACATGCTACAATTTCTTGGCGGTTTGGTGTTGGTTAGCATTATTTTCAAATGCGGTAACTGGAATTTTTATAAATATTTCGGATCTGGAAAGTGCGTTCACAACTCCGAATTATGTCAGAGTGAGTTCTTATCTTGATCTAAGTTGTGTGTCATGTAATCACAGATTGAATAATTTTGACAGGGTTTGGGATAGTTTGAATCAGACTTTTTTTAAGTAACAACATAAATCTGAAAACAGCAGTAAATTCATTTTCTTTTCCATCTTCATTATCTTATTTGTTAGTCGTCCATGATTTTAAAACAAAACTTATTTTTGTATTTTTTAGGGCGAGTTAATCCTTATCAATATTATTTGGGTACTTACTATTGCGTTATGGATAATATATGTTATATTGAGAGCAAGAGGTGTCATCTGTTCACGTTATCCACTTTGGCCAACGATGATGTCCAAAGGTGTGAAAAAATTGCCAGAGAATACACTGAAGTAAGTATTGCTGATGGGTTTCAATAGGGGGCCGCTCCACCCTAGAGGTACGTGAATACATTTCGGAGATACCGCAAGTTTACAAGACTCTATTACTGAACTCGTTACTCTTTGAGGTTCATTTTGTTTTGCCAGTATTAGGTTTGCTTTTGTGTATATTTATAGTTTATCCAATTCTTTTTACAGCCTTATAAGTATCGATAGATTTGTGACAATGAAACTATCATATTCCGCAGGGGTGCCCTCAGCCTTTGGAATGTTTTTCATTTAGCTTTCGCTCTACCATTAAGGTTGGACACCACTGGTCTGTCACATTCATAACGAAACATATTTTGCATATTGAATTTTCAAAGAAATTGGTCCCGAGTATTATCTATAATTAAATTTGTATTTATTCATAATCGATTTGTGTTTTTTTCAAATATTTTGAATCATTTTGGGTGGAAATTATATATAGCTTTGAATAGACTACTCAGGACAATCTAAAAGCAATCCTAAATATGTCGAAATTTTCACTGCCTTTCATAAGAGACTGATCCTACCTGAATATACAGCTGTGATTCCCGTGAACATGCTTCTTGATCCACAGTTTTGTTAATGAAATACCGCCCGAGTCAAAAATAATATTCCTTTTAATTAAGAATTCTGAGGTACTTGATTTAGACCAGGCCTTCAATTAAAATTCGTAAAATTTTATTTTCAGTATTTTAGTTGGTGTACTTCTAGTTAACACTGTTAGAAGAATTTGTATATTTTAATGTAATTTTCATAATACCGGTAATTCAATTTGCACTAGGTACATGCAATCTGCTTTAGAAGGCAGGTACGCCATCAAGAAAGCAATGGCCGTTCCTGCTTTACTAGCACCAGTTCATGAACTTACACATCAAATTCATGTTATGAATGCTTTAGCATGTGAAGCAGAGTAAGTTTGATAGTCTATATTCTATTCTATGAGGGAGTTTAATATTCTATTAATAACTGAGAATGCAATGGGATAGGATTTTCATATTTATTCTGGGGAAGAGAAAAGCCGATAAGATGGATCAATCATATTTCGTACCACGTCCTCTCATCTGGTAACCAGTCCATGTCCAGTATGGAATTATTCATCCAGTTATCTGTTACAGATACATGGACTTAGCCAACCAGTGGTTACGTAGACCATCCTACGGTGTTAATCAGTGGAGCAATCCTTTCGGACTTATATATGTCATACCACATCCTCTTATTCGGTAATCAGTCCATGTCCTGATTAGTCGGCCTGGTATTTGTTACAAATGCATGGATTTAGCCAACTAAGGAGTCGATCGATCCTCTCGCACATAAATATCTCTACGTCATGCGAACCCATGCAGAGTAATCTGAGGTGGGATGACAAGTATATCGCTAACACTTTGTACATTGCACCAAGCATAATAAAAAATAGATATAGTACAATTCGATCCAACCAGAAGACACTGGAATCATCCACCATTCAAAATGTTGAAATAAACTGTGAACACAAAATTAGTTTTTAGGAAGCATTATATATAAATGATCTTCCTAGTTCAGCAAACGTACACAATTCGTGAGTTCTTATGTTTCTGGCTCCAGCTCCGTGGCTTCATTTTTTACCTCAAGAGCTGAGCTCCGGCTTAATGGTCATTGGGGCTTTTTGGTATAACCAGTGAAGCCCAAATGCAGTTTCGCAGAAGCGAGACTCAAATGTATCAATGTCTGATTTATTATTTGTATGAAGTATAGAATATTATAGACATAAAAAAGTAATTACATGATTTGGAGGAGCTTGAGCCTCTAGAATTTCAGTCCTGCTCTAGTTCCATGTAATATGATAAGTTTGACTTCAGCTTCAACATGGCTCCAGCTGCCCAGTCCTGCTATGAATCTTATATAAACTCTTTTCAACTTGAGAAAATGATTTTTTAGATATGTAAAAGATCCACTTCATTCATCATTACGTGATGTGTTGGATGAATTGATAGATTTTCACACAAGAGTTGCTCCTATATCATTATTCTCTGAATCTCTCAAACCTACTGTACATTCTACTGTTCAAGATCTTCTAAAGGTGAGTATATACAAGTTTATCATCATCAGCCTTTTAAACCCCACTTTTATTTCATTTTATACTGAATTGCAATTACAAATGTGTTAAAAATTAAAATCAAAATGCGAGTTTATGATGGAATTGTTTCGACCTTAGTGTCCATATATTTGAGCATTATTCTCTTGTTTATTCATGTCTGAAGGTAGCTTTTCTTCTTTACAGGTTATGCCAGCATTCACGAAACGGTTAAAACAAAGAGAATTTGATTTTATTTTGACTTCACCAGTTCGTCGACGTCTCCTGCTCAAATTATTCATTGTATCCTGTTTCCTCAACAAAACGAGATCGTCACAAGATGCTACAGGAGGAGAAGATGGTCGCGGAGGAACTTCCAGAGTTCTTCAAAGATTGTGGCGACCACCAAGCTCCAGTGACATGATCAGTAAAAGCGATGTGGATGAAAATGACCAATGCATATCTGATGAAGGATTTGAAGGAGACGAATTGGAAGGAAGTGATGCTGATCATGAGATATGGTACACAGATGGTAGGTTTACATTTTATTCCACTTTTTGCGAGTTTATATATTGTTATGTGAAGTTTGAATTTAAATTTTTTATATAATATTATCTGGTATTTTGTTTTATGAATTCATTTCTGCTTAAGAATTAGAACAATGTTTCTTTTTTCTAACGAATACAAACATAAACAATTATATCATGCCAAAACATTATCAATACATTCAATTTCAAGTAAGTATTGTCCATATTATATTACAGTGGCCAGTTATAATTGATTTTTCATCCATGTATGCCATACATGTACAAAACGGAAATAATGGAGTTATAGTCAATGTTGTGTTCATATGCTCTGCGAAACTGAGCCACTGCCCAATTATTATTAACAAGTAAAAAAAAAAAATATTGTTTCACAGAAAGAAGAAATAATTCTGTGATTGTATCACCGACTCTAGAAAGTGAACACAGGTAATAATAAATAACATGTATTATTTATAGTACTGAGAATTTTCTCTTGTTCGGCATGGCTTATCTGGCTTATTACATAACACTAGCAATTATAGTCAAGGTTTCACCCTTCAATCATATAATAAATGTGAGATGTCCAATCCACATACCTTAACATGCCAATCACCAGACTGCCTTGCTAACATGGAAGTTAATCACGCTAAGCATTAGGAATACTTTTGTCATCGCGCTTTTGATTACCCTATATGCATCCATGAATTCGGTGAGAAGGATTATGTGATAGACTATCATAATGTTGCAGGGTTGTTCACTTAATTACTTGTAAGTAGCAGATTCTTTCATCATTCATATTTTGGGCGACCAATTGGTCAGCTACTGTGTCCGGAAAATCGCTGCCAGAGCATTTTGCTGTGAAACAAGAATTCGTGATAAAAATAGTTATGTTTAAAGGATTAGGGTATGCTCTTAAATAATGAATCTTTTTAAATAAAAAGGTACTTTAAAAACCGTTTTAAAAACTGTTTTTATCATGAATAATGTTTTATGGCAAAATGCTCTTGCGGTGATTTTTCCCATGCGGCGAAATTTCCTAGAACTATTTGCTACTCCCATATCCCACAGAGAATGGTAACTAGGCGAAGGGCTGTGGCTGTGGCCATGGATGTCTTGTCTTACTGCTCCAGAAGATCATTTTTAAAATCCTGAACAAATCCAATCGCCTGTGTAAGGTAGAGAAGAACCAATGCGAATCTTGAGATCTGTTAAATGTTTTTATTATTCTTATTTTTAGTGCTGCGTAGGAATGAAACAACATCAGTCAACGCTTTACTGTACTTAAAAACTGCTTCAATTTTGGTACTCTGTTAAGTGTCAATTTTTTTAAAAATTATTTTTGTGAAATAGCACTGTTTAGTTTTAAGCTTCCACTGTATTTTACTTTATTTACTGTGCACTACACATATACTATAATTAGTTCATCTTTGTGAATATTCTAAGATAAGTACTCTTCCACTCATTATATTCCAGTTTTTGTCCCAAGTTGAATGTCACTGTATCGGTTCATGAGTGGATTTGACATCAACAGTCTTTCTTTGTTTAAACATTATATTGGAAGTTACCGTAGGACAAAATGTCTGTTTCAAATCTGGCTCAAAAACACCAATTTATTTAATGGAGTAAACTATAATGTACATCTTCTAAATTTTTAATATCATACCCAAATATCATATTTCCCGTGCAGTATTCAATTTTTTTTATTATTCAGTTTTAAATATAGATACAATTTAGCTGTTATTGAGAAGTTTTATAATAGCAAAATATGCTGTATTTTTTTATATTGGCGGCCGGAGTTAGATGTTTTGTTTGCTGGTTATGTTTGTAATTGTGACTTTCACAATGATAATTCAGAACGCCAGAGAATAATCGAAATTTTCAAATCTCAAACACGTGTCAAAATTTTTTGTAGATGATATTTGTCAGTTTTTTGAATGACTCTTTACTGGGATAAAAAATTTCTAAAACACCACAATCATCTTGATGTAGCATAACATAAGGTTTTAATCTGATGTATGTGCGTGGGAGAGAGTTTTTATTTCCACGTGAAATGAAAGACACTATCCAAGATTTCCGTGGCATTAGAGCAGGGGTCACCAAACTACGGCCCGCGGGCCGGATCCGGCCCGCGACGTCATTTTATCCGGCCCGCGGCGTCATTTTATCCGGTCCGCAATAACACACAAAAATGGCTAAATTTTTTTCCAAGAGAGATTTTTACGAGCATCGTCGTCTTTGTTTATTTCGTAACATTGGCCAATCGGCAAGATGCAAAAAAGTGACGTAATAATAGGCCTTTCCGCGTCCGCTCAGACACTTTTGTCATCCTGACAGATTTTCAGTCGTGGTTGTAAACAAAACTTCGTTTTTGCGACTTTGAATGCTACCATAACGTAACGTTTTCTGCGATACACTTGTACACTCGTGACGCGTGCTTTTGACGAAACTGTTTGTTTTTTGTGCTAAAATAAACGTCGAATGTGCATTTTGTGCAGTACTGTAATCCCTCGCGTACTGCTCCAATTTCAAAGGCCACACTAACTTTTGTACTGCTTTAATGCGGATATTCATGTAGGTATGTTACAAAAAAATTGAAGTCCATCCGATTTAAATAAAAACTGCTCCAGTGGAAAGATCTGAGTAAAAATAGAAAACAATACCAAGTTTATAATAAACGGTCAAGAAATAACGGAGATATCGGAATTTTAGTACCGCCCGACAGGCCAATTTTTTCCATAATGATTGTATTACTTTTTTGATAAGAACTGAACTAAATATGGAAAAATAACACATATCAATCACTAATCTTTCGATGTGCCATCTATGTGTCATCTATTGAGACTATTTCAGAATTTTATTCTGGCAACGGTCATTGGCACCGCCGAAAGATCGTCGCAAATAAACGCTGGAGTTGTTCATGATAGTTTGACAGTGGTTCATTGTGGGTAATAATTAGCGATGTGCTGATTGTACGAACTTCATAAAAATTGTATCAAGTTAGGAAAGAAATACACACGTCCACATACATTTTATTGTTGTCCATAGACAATATCATTAATTTGCACTACGTATAACTAGAGCGTAATTTTCAAAAGCGTCGAATGTTGGGAAATTTATGCGCTAATGAAAAAAATCAAATACCAGATAATAGTTGTTTATTTTATCTAAATTATGTCAAAATTTCATAGAATTCCAAGCTACAGCAGGTTTTTACAGCTCGTTTTTATGAGAGGTATTTCAACTCGGCGTAACGGTACTTAGCAGACCGTAGTAGTATATATTTACGAGCAGACGTGATGCGTACATTTTTTGCCGTGGATTTTGTAACATTTCTAATTCATGACAGCAACGTTTTGATAACAGCTAAACTCAGGATAATTGTCTAGATATAGAAATCTTGTTAATTTTTTTCCTAGGATGTTCTCGATCTATATTCTGCGATATTACCAACATTTGTGAATTTATTGTATTGCATTGACAAAAATATTCATCCGGCCCGTTTCAACACAATTTGAGTCATACCCGGCCCGCGGTCAAAAAAGTTTGGTGACCCCTGCATTAGAGTATCCGGTATCCAATTTTCACATTGTTTTGTGTAGGCCAGTAAGCGGTAAGGTCGTTGAAGGTCATCGAGGCTCCTGACCATTTTTTCACCATATTCAAACTTTCAGAATTGGTTGCCACAATATTAATATGAAAATGACAGAAAATGAGCCAGCAGGTAATTTAGCTACATGATTGGACACGTGACAGCAGGAATTTTAAAATTATGTCTTATACCGGGACAGTACCTAATCTAGTGATATTTTTAAAAAAAGTTTCTCTCCCGCCAAAACTTAAATTAAGCAATCGCCATGGTAATAGTTGGCTCATTCTGTTGTTCTACATTTCCTACACACTTGATTTATTATGCTTAAACAGGGGTCGCCTTTCTGGTCATGTACTAACTGATAATAGCTCAAGCTATATTTTCAACCTTCGTACTAACATACAATTCAATGTGACCACCGTTCAACGTAGGCCACCGTGCCATCTAACGAATATATATGGAATTTTTTGTATATAATAAGGGGAAGAGGAAGGTCGTTAAAACGACTTGGTCAAATTGGACACCGGGTTCAGCCGGTGCGCGATGGGGGACTAACAACTCTGATAAGTATATTCAGCTTTTGTAATGTCGTGTGATTCCCAGAAAAATTCAACAAACTGGCCATTTCCGTCTTAATTTTCAAAGAATTGACACAAAACTAGTATTTACAATTGTATGTAACAAATGCGACGATATATATATTGAAAGTCACTGCAATTTAGAGCAAAAAATACGGCATGTTTCAAAATTGCAAGTATTTACAATTCTTTTTCTGCCTCTAACAATCTTCATCAGGAGTTTCAGCTCGCACATCTCCGACAACATCAACAGCTTCGGTGGTTAAAGCAATGGTGTGATATTTTGCACATGCACACATGTTGGCATGCATTGCCTGGATTTCGTAATCTCCCAACTGTCTGGTCCATATCATGAGGTTCTCTACCGTTCCAGTGAGGGCCTGATATTTTTCAAAAGAACCGAGTAATGAATCTTGTTCTTCGCCAATCACCATTTCTCCTCCTCCAACTATCGGTGCGTTGGGGGTGAAAGTTTGCTTCGAAATGGGTGACCCGTCAAGGTAGACTTTCATCCAACTCCTCTGCATGGAAATGACGACGCATACGTGCGTTCTTCGAGCAATATCAACCGAAAAATGGCTTGCTGCAACGCTATGAATATAAATGTCAAGTTTTGCGGTGAAAATCATCAACAATACATTATCGGTAGTAGCCGTATTGTAACTAATAAAAGATCCTCTTAGATTTTGGTTTTCCAACGGCGTTATCCAAGCACAAACAGAAAAACTTGCCATGTTTTCGATAGGCGTCTTCATTCTTATGTAACGTGGCTGTGTGCGCGTGGGGAAAAAGTACTTTGTCTGTGGACAATCTGAGATGCAAAAAAATAGCGATTAGTTTAAAAAAAAAAGTTGACAGTTGCGTCACATTCAACTTTGTCATAAACTTGCATAATACGCGCCGAGAGCAAAAAATGCAGCAAACATTTACTTGAGACTGTTTCTGTCCATTTTAATGGTTCAATCAATTTCTTTCATGTGTTTACGCCTCTGAGTTGCACGACTATCGAAACATATAATAATAGGCTACCAGCCGAAACCATTTTGGGTATTCCGAGTGCAAACTTTGGTAATTGTATTATTTTTTTTATGACGATTGTGTTTAAGCTATGTTATTTCAAAAAAAAAATAATAATCCAATCGTCTCAGCCAAGTCCATAACGGTAGAGTGGTTAGCTTTTTCTTTCACCATAAGTTCGTGCTACAATAACGGGTTTATACTCAACTAATAACTATTATAATACCGAACAAGGATTGGTACTCGGGCGAGAGGCCGTTATTCGCTATATGATTAGGTCATCTTATTGGCTTCTACCACTGCTTAGGATTAATTAGAAAATCCTACCGATTTGCAAATTTTGCAGTTGGTTTTGCACTTTTTCGACATCCTTTGCTGTTTGGAGAACACATTGGCATGGTTCTCCCTTTTCCCCTTTTCTGCCAGTCTCTCCTTTGATCCCTCTCTTCCCCGGTCTTCCCTGGGATCCCTTAGATGAAAAGTATGGTAAAGATGCTGTATTGCCTTCTTGATCACATGACATGCGACAATGCCCAAGATTAAGATTATTAACAGTTTGGCCGTTACAGCCGATGAAAATCAGCAAAAAACAAAATACTCCAAACATTGTGTTGCTACTGATGATCACCACTTGATACTAGAAAATTTTGACCGCCTGTATTCCTCAATACACGATTTCAATTTTCAAATGTAGACCCACATATGAGCAATTTCATTTCCGCGAAATTTTTACAATGCCTTTTTTGTTTGAAACTTTGTAAATACGCAGACTGACTCCATATTGTCTGCTAAAACAGGAAGCAATAATAAATATTGCAAAAACCTTGTGAAAATTTCGGTAATACAAAGATGCATTCTGTCAGTTTGATATTGCCACGCGGCCGCAGTCTAGTAAACAGCATTTTTTTTATCATCTGTTTCATGCATACCCTTCGTCAAAACTAGTTCCAACACAACCGGCAGGTATTTTTCAGAGACTATAATCTACTGGACGGATTGTAATATTTTGACCCTACTTATTCTCTATAATTTCCGATAAGCCAACAGTCTACCCAGATTTTTACGTCATTGGCAAGGTTGTGGGAATCCGGTTTGAAATTCGTTGTGCGATGTTGAAAAAAGATAAAAAATAGAAAATCGTTCAGTAGGCGTCAATTTGACATTTGTACCTGTATATGTATGAGCCCGCTAACATTTGCACCTATAGACATATAGACGAATATTTGCACTCACGAACATTTGTGCCCAGACATGGCTGGATTTTTCATTAGGCGAGGTAGGTCTGAAGCCTTAAGGGCCTCGATTTTGAACTATTCTTTATTTTCAAATCGTTTTTAAATTTTAAAGGCTCGTTTCAGAATATTATATAACCAGCTTGAAATTCTGTAAGAACTGCTTGATTTTTTTAATGAGGCTAATAATTTTTGTCTCCAATATATTCCGCTCGAAAGATTGAAAAAACCTTCGACTTTAAAAACATAATATATATATATATACCAACTTAAATAAATTGAACAGTTAAATCCTAATAATATCTTTATTTAAAAAAAAAAACGAAATATCGATATATAGCTATACTAATTTATCTAAGCAACAATGACTACTATAAGAAATAATATCACAGGTTTCAGTTTCTTAAAGCGTTTTAAAATTCAATTTACTATCTAATCTACTTGCGTGATTAGCGTACGTATTTTGCCCGTAACTAAAATTTTGTATTTTATACCGTTTAAAAATTTGTTTATGCTGTCATAATAGATATTAGCCTACTGCGTCTAATGACGCCATTGGGATATTACAAATAGTATTGCCTAGGCCCCGCCCTTTTGTCTCTTATTGTCTAAATTTAGCCTAGGACCCAAGAAATGTCTATGGGTGCAAACTTGTTTGGGTGCGTATGTCCATGAGTGTAAATATCCACATAGACATGGACACAAACGCCCATGTGTGCGATTGTTCATGGGTGCGTTGCATATAACCGTGGGGGTAAACTGTGTACGGGAGCTGAAATTTGTGAGGTTCGTATCTCCGTGGGTTTAAATATCATGGGTGCAAACGTATGCAGGTACAAATGTACACAGAAGCAAAGACATGGAACTCATCCAAACATATTTTGCACAATTCAAATCTATCAATTGCCTGTAGAAATGTATGTCTACATTAGAACGACAGCTCATTTTGCGTCCGTGGTGTGAAATCACGTTTATTATATTATTTACAGAGACATTGTTGGTATTTCTCTGCTTGACTGAAAGAAAAAACTTTTTTGAATCAGCGTTTTAAAATTTCCCTCATTTTCCGGTCACTGCATTTAAGACGATTTTTATTATATTCCCACGATATGAAATTCATAGAGATGTATATATTGTTTATTTCAGTTTATTATTATTATTATTGACATTTATGACATTAAAAATATATTTAAATAAGAATGTAATCCAAACGTATTTTATACGTCGAAAAGATTAGGTTTCAAAACTAATAAAAATGAAAAATGTACAACGTGATAAAAAAAATGATAAATAAAAATGTCGTTAGATTTCACAGAGTTATTCTATTCATTTCCCAAACCGGATATTTTTTTCAGTCTTCAATATTAACGCGATTCTTGAGTCTTTAAACTCTCAAAATTGATGCGCTCACACAGAAATTAATAAAACGGGTTAATCAAGCCATTTTCTCTATATCATATTCCATCTTGTTGTTCCATCCTGTACGCCTAAAAATGCAGAATTTCCCAATTTCAGGACTAATGAATTATGACCTGTTACTCGCCTCTATAACAAGATCGGTTTATTTGTGCGGAGTTCATCATATTACAAAGATCAAGTTGAATGGGTGCAATGCAATGTTATTTATACATCAAGTAATACGGCAGAGTCTAGTGTCGCTGGAATAACATTACATATTTTATTGTCTAAGGTTGACTAAACAGTTGTTCTTTTGGCACAGAGAGTCTGGCTGTAAACGGTTGACCTGCAAACAATAGACAAGTCTTAATTCTTACTGACGAACTTCAAACGGCAAGTCTTTCGTCGAAGTAACTGATCTATAAACTCGTTACTGTTAGTAAAAAACGTGAAATACAATAAACAGTTCTCCGTATTTTTAATAGGAATAGTCAATTGGAATATATTGCTACTATTTTTGGTAAAAGAGCATACATTTCCACAGTAATATTATAATTACTGGTGACAGACCGTGCCTATAGCATTTGCCCATAGGAACTTTTTAAATTATATATCAACAAGAAATGAAATTAATAGGGTATCGCTTGGAGCTAAATTACTTTGATCAAATAAAACGTTTGATCTATCGATGTCGTTTATTTGGTTGAAAGTCAGTCCTATAAACATTTGCATGCGAAGTTGACATTCGACCGTGGTCTTTGAATTTACGGTTGTTTTCTTGTGAATTTTGTTCTACCGTTATTATTTGGTCCTTATAATTTCTAGAAGGTATATTCCCCCTCTCGTCTGACCGTTTTCTTTGCCTGGACTGATCATAATTAGAACCCCGATGCGGTTCTGGCTGGTAAGAGTTTGGTTCAGAATTTTGTTTCGGTACGTGGCGAGTATGTGTAATTTCATCAAGTTGTTTTTTCATCTCATTTTCAATATTTGAGTTTAATCTTGGTGTAGCAGGCAATGTCCTTCCTCCATTTTCAGTTGAAGCCCGTCTCGGTGCTATATATTTTTCTTCACCCTGTGACTCGTCTCCTGCAAAATATGATTGATTATGTTATTTCAACTAAATTCGATGCAATCTTTATCCCGATATATCGTATTGGCAATCAGATACGCCTCTTGAATGGTAATCTCAAAATTGCGATACGAGTCTCACATGACGGAGAGAAATTCCAACTCAAGTATGATGAATGTATAAAAATGCCGTACTGGGAAATAATTTAAATGAAGAAAGTATAAATATCGCACTTATGTTAAGTAAATATCATTACTTTGATTCGGCAACGAAGAAGATTTCAGTTAAAAGTCATCGATGGGTTGAAATAACAACTTTCACCCAAGACACAAAAATGCCCAGCGACGAGACTGCATTTAAATAAAAACAATACTTGTCGAAATATGTACAGTTCTGTCGATAAAATATGCTGTTGGAACTAATTTGTTATAAAATAATTTGAAACAAACCAAACTTATCTCGTAATTTAAAATATTATGGTTATATCCACCACTTCCATATTGGAGTAGCAAAATATATATTATGTGGTAGCTTAACATATTTAAAATATATGATGTGACACTTGAAAATATCGACCTGGAGGCCTCGTATATCTGTAATTACTCATCTAACTTTCTATACAATCGTATATTTGCATAGAAATATAGCCGAGCATACATTCACTCATTTATAAGGATCTACTCGATGAAGCCGGCTTCAATCATCCGCAATGCCAACGTATTAATTAACGGAGAGATGAGCATAGTACACTTTCACATTTCCGGATGAATAAAATTATTTGAATTGGCTCCAACAAAACTAAATACACATCATACCTGATATCAAGTCAGGAGCACGATGAATTGTACCCGATGTTTTGTCCACTTTTCCTGATATCAACTGAAAACAAGTCGATTCTACGGGTGTAAAACCTTCAGTTGGCGGAACTCGCACTGATTTTGTGCCCGGAATATTTTTTTTAAAACCCGGTATGGTATCTTCACAACTTCTATAATATATACTCACTAAGCCGCGTGACATAATAGGGTCCGGTGGCAGTTTTTGCTTAGTTAAATAACAATCGTCTAAAACACCATGCTCTGGACAAGTCCTGGATATAGTGGCAGCTTTCAGAGGTAAAGCCTTCAATATTTTTTGTCTTGTGATAAACAACCATACGAAAGAAATAATAACAATTGCAGCTCCCAAGACAGTAACAACTGCGCCAGAAGTTAATACAACCGTATACTCCCTGAAGGATAAGGCGACGATTCCAATTGCTATGACAACTGTTCCCACAATGACGCAACAAATGGGAGGTCGAAATCTAGGATCACTGTTGTTCAAATTAATCTGAAATAGAAATACATGATAAAGCACAAGAAATAAAATTTCGTGATTGTAGGGTACTGCATTTGTGTGTAATTTCTGCAGCTATTCTAACGCATATCATTGTATTGCCTGAAAGCACTATTATCATCTTGATCTTAAACGAAAAAAATCAATCTTTTATGTTCTGAATTAAAAAGAGTACGACTACTGAAATCTCATACCAAAGCAGCACACAGTATACAGACCACATATTCCGTATTAAAAACTATACTATAGCCTACATACTATGGAGTTTGTCACAGGAACAGTCCAAGTATTTATAAAATAGGCATCTACACATATGTAAGTAAAATGAAACAACAAGTGATTCAATGTTCATAGATAGACAATCCATCAGCGCCGTATTTAAGTGATTACTTTTTAGATGGTCCTATAATTCCAATGTTCATAAATTTAATCTTTTATGTAAAGATTAGTAGCGCTCTACCTGAATTATGCATTGGTATACAATCAGGATAGTTAGTTATACCTTTACTAAACAATCTATGGTTTCTGCTGTATACTTAGAAAATGATTTATATAAGGTGGCAAGGTCACAGGCTCTCACTTAAAAACGTCATTTCAAAACAACAAGGCTAGAAATTATTGAAATGCCAAGACCGTCATTTATTGTATTAAATATGTACGTTTTGCAGATGCATGTAAAAACAGTTGGAGCAAATTAACCGATTTTACAAGTAGGGAACGCCACAATTTTACAGAGCAGAAATTTGTAGAAAACTTTTGAATAAAATTAAAATGTCTACCGTTTACACATTAACATTACGCGCTTATTCTAATGTAGTCAGTATTTCATTGTAAAACAAGATAGCAAAACAAGGCTGTACCGATACTGCCATACGCCGTTCGCTAATCATTTGCCTGAAGTAGTTATGAGATAGCAAAATCAGGAGTAAAATCTGATTTTAGAATGTTTAAAAATTTAAAACTAATTTGAAAATAATCTACTACAACACACATAGAAATTTAAAAGTGATTGGTTCAGTGAATCGTGAGAAAATGAAACAACAATTTTTTCGAGCGATCCAAAAGTACATACGTTTCGTGTTTTCCTTAATAGAGCAAGAGAGCGGTGCTCAAATATATGAACACGTAGGGCAAAACAAAATATGTTATCATCAATTCTACGAAAATCATATGCAGTACCTTACCTGTAGTCATGATATTCGATCGCGGAACCGCTTGAAATAAGTTAAAAACAGTGTCCCCAAGTGTGAAAATTAATACTGCAAATTTTTGGATGAAATATCAGACCCCACAGGATTCATAGGAAATTCAAGAATAAATAAAAGTAATAACCTTCTTCTAGCAAAGAATGCAATCTTTACCCACTGAAAATTTCAAAGCAATTCGTCCAGTAATCAATGACGATAATAACAATGGGAAGTAACGCAGAGAACAAGAACAACAACAACATAATAACAAAACGATCCATAGGTCCACTACGTGTTCAACAAGATAATATGCTGCATATTTTTTATTAAAAATAGAAGCCACCCGTGTCTGTATAAGACATTCACATCACATTCAAGATCTATACAATTTTATTTTTATCTATTGGGTAATGCTTGACGCACGAAGTAAAGTAGTAATCGACCTCGACGTGTTTCGATGAAATTCGCAGAAAAAAAATATCTCTAGTGTCATAGGATAATAAATACCGCTTTCGAATTTTGCTGCGACAATTAATCAGACCTTAGTCATCCAAAACCTATTCTACGCGCAAAAATAAAAGTGGCATAAACAAAACAATTTTAACATTTGCGCTAATGGGGAATGTCATCACCAGGGCAGCTGTACCAGTGTATCGGTAGGATATGCACAAAGCCAGTAAGGATAAGAGAATCTGACTGAATACGTGAATGTGAATAAACTACCATTCCAGCTAAACTTAGCGCCAAACACGGTATGTTGTGGTCCCGGTATTCTGTTACTACAGAATAAAAAGCACGAGCAGTTGAATCGCATATTACACAGATCACAACGCGTTGGCAGAATGTCATGGTATAGTGAGGTAGACGCCAGCGGAAACACCACGTCCATTAAAATTTCAATGAACGATGATCAAAAATCTTGACAATGTTTATCATTATAAAAATATCATATTCTATTCCCAAAACTGCACAAGTCTACAATGAAAGTTAATTGGAAAATTACAAAAAATGCAAATTTCTGCTCTGGTGATCACATTTCCTATAAGAGCTAATGTTAAAATTGCTTTGTTTAAGCCACTTTTATTTTTGGCGCGTAGGATGGGTTTTGAATGACTAAGGTCTATTATTCATCTTGTTAATCAACTGCTAATAGGGAGTAACTAATCGAAAATGGTGTTATGAAATATTTCAAAATGGACCATCGTGGATATATATAGCTAATGCAAAATTATAAACTAATCAATATAAAAAAAGCATCCAAAGGAGTGGGAAAATATCAATCATGCATTTGATACTTTTGCAGAAGTTTAGAATACAGTATTTTGTATATTTTGATTTGACACAAAAAAACGCTCCAAAATGAGAATAGCTGCACTCCCTAATCTTTTGGTAGTTCATTGGGTGCTCCACATCGGACGACACTATCTGAGTTCAGAATCATATTAATATGTATGCAAATACCTACAAAGAACGATGCCATATCGACCCAAATCGCAACCAAACGCCAAGTTACTCAAAGCGTAACATAAGAAACGTCGTTGAAATTAGCAGAAAGTGACTGTATTTAAATGCCACAGAATTTTATTAAAATATCATATAAATATCCACTGACATGCGTTAGAATCGGAATCCATCACAAGAATGCAATTCTTGAATTAAATACATACAAATGTGAAACAATGTGGGCCGAACGCAGATCATATTAAAAAGTATCACGAAGAAGTACAAAGAAACAAATTTTACCGAATCTTCAATACATTTAGTAAAAATAGGCCGAGTAATATTGACACATGCCAAAATGACCTATGTTTGTCGTAAACTACATAGTCCCACACTCAAGACTGTAATCTCTACTTATGGTTATGACCATACAATCACGCCAAGTGTGACTGTACAGTGTATTGTAGACGATCATCCGGAAGGAGTGTAACGAGGGAATTAATTAGGCTAACAAAGTGTGCATCAAGCCAACTCAGGTGGTTTGTATGAACCCCATGTCCGCCATTTGATGTCCTTTATGAAGGTCCATCAATTGAATTTTATTTATCAATTATTCACGAGTAACGAGGGAATCAAAGCCGCAAAACTCATTTTGACACGGACCGAACAATTGCATGATTCATTAAATTATACGCTTTCATTAAGATTATAAGTTTATTACTGGAAGGAATGAATAATTGGGATACAAAAATAATTTCTGCATACATTATATCTGCCTGTGTATAAAGATAAACTACGTTTCCATGGTAATATGATTACATTATTAAATCAACGACCGACAGTCATGAGCGTAATACTCCAACATAATCTAGGCTTAACAAACTCACGACCTCTCTAAAAAGTTTTATGTTTGGAGAGCCATCAAAAATAGATAATACCAATGAATTCATTGCAAAAACATCATTCATTTGAATTTCAAATTTCAACAAATATATGTAGATTAGCTCACAGAGACGTTTTAAAATGGCTGAATTAGAAATGAACGAAATTAACATTATTTGTCCAGTTGACCAATTTAAAATACCCAAATGTTGAAATAAATCGTTGCATCAAGGTGTGACAATTATCATTAAGGACGTGCAACTATCCTTCCTAAAAATCTTCACATACGCCTTATATGCTCGATTATTCAGTTTAACTACCTTTTCCAGCAAAAACGGAAGGTACAAAATGACACACACATAACATATATATATATATATTTCAATCAAATATTTCCATATCAGAAAAGAATATGAGTAAGTTCTAAGGTAGTGAAACATAAGCATAAAAACAACGTGGGTCAGAAAAAGTCTTTGAAATATTTTCAAATTGTTTTATAGGAGCGCCACAATGACGATGACACTTTTCTTGATATTAGTTGTAATTCAAGGCGCCAAAAGAAAACTCAAATTTAAAATATTGAATTGAGTTTAATTTAATTTCATTATGTTGTTTTAGGCATCCATTTTCAGCTCATTTCAGAGCAAAAAAAAACTATTTTAGAAAGTCAATTTAATTTAGATGTCATTTTACAGTCGAGTGGGTTTGAAAATTTTGTATGCGCGGAACATATGTAATTTTACCAAAGTCATACATCATTTATTTTAACAGGCGTTAATTGCCACATATGGCCATTTTAATTAAACATTATAGTAGTTCGCGCTAGTGTTCTATTTGCATATTTCATTAGGTGGATGGATAAATTTATCTTACATTTGAAATTGATAACACCCTGGCCAAGTATAAGTGAAATGTGAATAACTGTTTTATAACGCGTTTCATATATAATTCAGAATTCACGGATCACGGCATATTTTTCCATTCCCAGAGTCCATCGCGGCCTCGTTCTCCGCAGTGGGAAATAAAATAAAAAAAAATCCTGCTCTTTTTCACGCTTTAAATACATTGCCAGCTGGCACAGAGACCACATTACTCCATTTCACGCTTTTGTTAACATGGTTTTATTGCCAAAATAGACATTGCAATTTTTGAGAAAATTCATTTTACTGACGCAAAATACTCCCGGGAATTCCTTTTAACTTGGATGTTTCAATGTCAATATTTCGAGGTTTCTCAACAAAGCACAGGCTTCCTTTTATTCCGAATAAACTTGGACTCCTATTGGATGCACCTCTTTCACAATAGACGCATGTTTATACGCAAATTAGTTTCAAGTTCGATCGTTTTCTTCTCACTCAAAGTTGGGTGATAGCGTTTCAACTTTAACTCAAATCTTAGGTGTTGAGCTACAATTGCCAAATAAATACCCAGACAAAATATTCTTTAAACACTATGAAGTCATCCCGGTGTAAATATTTTACATTGAAGAAAATTAACAACATCATTTGAAAAAAGGATATTAGTGGCATTGCAACGCAAAGATGAAAATCTTTCCGGTACTCGATTCATTATCCTCAAGCCTGATTTACACAATCAGGTGACTAGGCCGGAAAAAGAACCGCAAAAGCTTTTTACCCGTTCCGAGGCATTACTTCATTTTGACATACACCAAAAAAGTATAACAAATTCACAAGATTTTCATAGTAAAGGAAACGTGTGGCAATCGTTGCAAAATGTCACAACTATGAGTTATTGTTGATTTCAGGCCATTTGGGTGATAAAACGTCACGTGGCTTTTTTGACTCTAGTAATATACTAAAATACTGCATAATTGGGAAAAATTGTTTTCAAAAAATTCATGTGATAAAAAGTGCTTTCTTCAGAAAAACCATGCTGAGGTTTATCGCGTGCTTCACTCGTTCTCGGCGCTATATATACGCAAATAACACAATTGCCTCCAATATTAAAAAATAAATTTCCGAAAAAACCTCAAAAACGAACTAGACCGAATCAAAACAACAATTTGTTTAGTTTATTAAGTCAATGAAAAGATGGGAGCGGATTTTAGTTATAAAATGAACACGGACAGTAAAAAATAATAGACTGGTTCAAACAATTCTTACTTTTGTGCTACCTTCAAACAACTAATGAATAAGTTACAGACATAAAATTTGATAAGAAGCATTCATTGTTACTAGTTTCTGAGGAGTACATCGTTCTATACAATAGAATAGCACAGAATATGCACAGTAATTCTGTGGCACATTAACTTTATCATGAAATAGAAAAACAACGAGAAAAACAAAAATGAACTTTTGCAAAGATAGACACTCCACTCTAATAATAATAAGGAGAACACCCTATAACAAAAAACAGCAGCATATCCATTGCTATTACAATCGCAATATTCAATAGGTTCGTGGCTCGCCTGAAAATGTCACTGTGGCCCAGCAGTGGGCCATGGCCCACTGGTTGAGAACCAGTGATTTAGATGATATTACAATAAATATCCACCGATTCCTATAGAAGCGTAAACCTATATTTTAAAAAAATGACTGGGCGAAAGAGCTGACGAAATCTAGAAAATACCAACATTTGGGAAGAATCGGAATATATTTTAACCCAACAACCAACAATTTCGTCAACATACAGTAAAAGTCATTTTTTTGCTAACAATCGGCTCATCATCAGGGCGTAGTCTAACTAGCTGGAACATATTGTAATAAATATTCGCTAAATGACTCAATTCTGTTATAACAATATATTGATAACATATTTCCATATTGGTGGTATATTTCTATTTAACATTTAACTCTCAACACTAGTTACTGGACCTCAAAACAAAATCTGATAATCGATTTTGTCGCCTTATATCGACCCGCTATATAGCTATACCTCCTTATTTATTGACATCTTCGACGTTGTGACATTCGTAACATCATGCGGTTTCTACTAGTACAACTAAAGAATAAGATGGCACAAACTTCAAATATAAGGAAACACGATCTTGTTTTTGTATGCTTTGTAAAACAATTTTTAATAAACAGGTGTTGAGAACTTTTTTTATTTAGATATTTATTTTAATTATAAATTGTATACTAAATTGCAAGTTGCACAAAAGAGATCAATAAAATGCAATATGTGACAAAAATACGGAAGTTGATGAAATCATTGGAATTGTAATCTGAAGTCTTTGCCCAACTCAACTATTCAGATTAGAAGGGGATTTACAACTTACACTTATTCAAGCACACATCGTATAAATTTTATGCTATAGATATACATACATACGGGATTAGCAAAAAACGGACCCCATACCTATACAAAAATGAAAAAATCATTAGATTTTGTTTATACTTCAACTTCTGTTTGTGCATGATTGTACCCGAAAGTTTAAGGAATCTAGGAAGCTTTGCACAACAGTTAGGTTCAATCTAGAATATGTTCCAAATCACCTTCTAGACATAGGAGACAGACTTGAACGCGTTGCGCAAAATCGTGAAATCACTCACTCACACTCCTCTATGGGGATTTTACTGAATTAATGAATTGCTCTATTTTCACGGAAGTAATTAAGAAATTTATTGGTTCCGTTTCTTGGGGGTCATCCTGGTGTATATTCAGTATGTCAATTTCACGCCAGGTCGGCGAGACAATATCAAACACAGAAAGTTTGAACATCTTTGACGGTTCGAATACAGTTGAAATAGTAGTAAATTATAAATGCTATATATTGTCAAATATGGGGCAATACCAATTTTGGAAATGACGATGGTTGTTGAGCATGCTATATTTTGACCTTAGGTATACGTACAAACTTTTGCATATTACGTTGAGTATTATCCAAATAAACAAAAAGTTGACATAATTTGTAACATGGCTGCACTGATAACGATGTGATAAAAGGATTTACTTTTATTTTCGATTCAAACTAATTCTAAACCAAACGTTGGGTTTTATATATTTTGTCTGTCCTATTTGTTGCAACAGCGAGGCCATCTTTTTACTATATCACAAAAAAATGTAATGCATATACTTACACTACAAACAAAGAGATTCCAAAATCCGGAACCATTGTAGGAATTGCTTGTCGAACCTCCATCGCTAGCAGACTTTGTCTTGAAAATAGGATGAGCTTTTCGTGACGACACTCCCCCTCCGCCACTGCCTCCAATACCACCGTCAGCAGCATTATCATAACGAAACATTGTCAAGTCTACATTATTAAAGAGCTTAACTTTTTATGCATATGCCTCTGAAAGTATATTATAAAAATTAATGTTGTGACTAGTATAGAGAAGGATATACAGAGCATTATAACATCGTCTATACAAAATATTCTACTTCAAATAAATTTTCTTTGTTTATAAAACGAATCCTGCCAAATATCACTCCACGAAAATTCACTAAGTTGCAATATTCACAAGTCCATTTCTTCTCACTTTTCGTTTCATAAATATCCAAGCTCGATATAATTTAGGAAGGCTACGAAAGAATAAGTATCAATTTTCGTTCAAAATCTATCTAGTATAGACGTTTTGGTTGTTTGTGTTATCATTTTGAACGATAAAATTTGGATTTTATTTTAAGCATCAAAACAACAGTGATTGAAAATCCTGAAAAAAAAAGTGTGTTTAGGATGCACTACAAATATATATAAAGGCCTAAGAGTATTTTTTTTTTGGATGAACTCTTCAAGAAAAAATAGAGAAAGCTCGTAACTTTGAAAAACTTTGTTCTTGCATTGGTGTTAGTATAACTATAGAAAATTAACAATCATACAATTTTTTGGGGGGATCTATTTTGCTGATGGAGAAATAGAATTTGATGCGGGCTTACTCAGACTGAGTACATTTGAAACGCAAGATAAAGACGTCTAATCAGGGCTTCGATTGCTTTTAAATTCTCACGTTTATATTTAGGCTCCACAATATGTATAACTGCTGTTAACACAAATCCTGTCGAACCTAAACAATTAATCTAAATTATATTGCTCATCGACGGAAGCTTCACTGATCAACAAAATAAAATTAAAACAGCAATTAACGAAGGGAAAACAAACCTTGTGGTCACTAAGGCGGTTTACAAGGTACTTTGTTTGGGTCGAATTCTATATTTCCGATCCGGCGTACCTATAACTGTAGTGGCGGGCATGTGCAAATCACTATCCCGATGAGAGCTTCAACCCACATCATAAGACTTACAATGCATAGCAATCAATGTCAGGTCAATGTTCCTAGGTCAACGGGTGTATAGGATTTACGAAGTAGAAACATGGTTGCAACAGTAATGGTTTTTTGGAGGGTGGAAACAAACTAATACCAAGCATTATATCAAAAAGTATCCAAGTTCGACACAGTATCGATATAACTGAGAGTTTTACAATATATATATCATGGTTTATGCCGTGAACTAGATAGACGACGTTTCACAATAGAATCTATTATTAACCCATAATGCAGAAGTCATTTCTTAACAGGTTAGAAAACACAAATGGGGATTTCCTCTATACTGAAGGTCGTGGCAAATCTAGCTTGTATCCCATTTTTCCTGTCCTTTTTTTCGCTTGCAAGCTATTCAGCTGGAAAAAATCTGAGCATTGTTTGTTAACAATATTCTTCACATACACGGCAAAACGTTTCGTCATCAGTTCCACCTGCCTCATTCCACTATCTGTAATACTTACTTCACAATAAACTTCCTAAACTGCTATCAGCTTTCTTGTTCATGAACAAAACCGCCTTCATATGTTTCTCGTAGGAAAAGCAAAATACAATTAAACATACAGCTAACGTAGGCTTTATTAGTCGATAAATGCTATTTTACTGACGAGGCCGTATAGTCCCATGGGTATAGAACACTCAGCGTGAAAAATCAAATAATATGCATTGCATAGCCTATATGTGTTGTCAAGTACTTGAACTTTTGTTGCACTATTTCCAAATGGCAAGTATATATTATCATAGCTATATTTGATTTATATACAAAACATTACCACATACTTGTACTGCAATGAACATGATTCAAATTCACGGTCATTTCTTATAACTTACCACTTAGCAGACATGCGACAAACACTTGATATTGTCAGAAAAAGCGTCGTTAAACCGGCTTTTCTTACTCGTGAACGCTAGTTGAGAAATAATTAAAGCAAATAACAGAACGCCTCCCGTATGTTCTTTATTCCGTATAACTAATTCGAACTCTAATTTAAATCCATCGATCAGTTGTAACAATTTGATTTGATATAGGGTTTTTTTTTTATTTATAAAAGGCCTTGTTCGAAAGAATGGTGCGAGATAACATCCCAAGCATAGTTGCTTTTTCACGTTGCTATGGGTGTTTTACTGATCATAAGCAAAGCCATATGTCTGGCCACGCTTGAATCATAAATAATGATGAAGATGGGCTTCTTCCATACTTGATACATGCTTTTGGATTAAATAATTACATTTGATATAAATAAATCAGATTTTCCGTGATTCCCGGCTATTTATAACTTTCAGATTAAAAACAATTTTAATTTGAAAAAACGGCCACCCAAATATCGACGCACAAAGTCGAAAACTAATCTGAATTTAAATTAGATTTGAATTCACGTTTAGTCGCCACTCTTGTAAATCGATAAAAATCTATCTAATGTAATAAGATAGATATGCTACGTACTAAAAAATAGTAAAATGCAAGTTGTTTAGCAGTATAAATTAGGCTATTTCTCAGACAAAAGCAACTCTCGAAAATTTAGGATAAATAGTACATACAATAAGTCCCATATTTTTATTGCTATTGCTAAATCTTTGAATGATTGATGGTATATTGCCTTGCATTCAGCAGGCGTTCAAGCGTTATGCAAATCTCTTCACAAAAAGCCATTTTCTAAAAACAAAAGGCCATTTTCTATGATCCAACACCCCTGTCGAACATATATATATCAACAGTTGTTTAGTGCAGCATATACATTAAACTGAAATATTGTATATACTGTATAAACTTACAACACCTTGAAAGGTTTTTCTCCCAGATTCTGGCTTCGGGTACGTTTCATTCATATATAGTATCCCTAAACTGCGGCCAACCATTTTAAATTAATTAACTATTATTCATGCGATAAAACTGACAGGTCAGTTGAATTTTTCCCATTTATCTTCCCCAAGGAAAATAGATTTTCGCAGTCGCGTCAGATTATATTATACCTCAATTTAATTTAGTAGTTTTGCTCGAATGAAAACAAGATAACACATCTGGAGTACTAACAAAAAGTACGAAAAAGATGTAAATTTTGGTGAAAAACAAGTACAATTTTAAACCCTTAAAAGAGTCGCAAACTCTTATAGTTGACAGAAAATGCATTTAGTGCTCAATATTTCCATTGAATTTTTTCAAAAAAGACTGAATTTTTTCTTATTTCACTGAGTTCTCTAGAGAAATTTATTTCGACGGGGTTACCAGTTACCACTTTTCCAAACTTAAATACTTATTACTTATCTTCTGTTTTTGTAATTTAAAGTCACTAATCGCGTATGAAAAACGTATATTAAAATACTTCAACCTTCCAAAAGAAAATATTGCGCAAATTCTTCAAGAAATATACTAACTTGACGGTGTAGTTATTATTTTCATCAAAGACATTTGAGGGAATGAGGTTTGATTTACCCGAAATGAATAGATAGAACTTCTAGTTTATCTTACATTTTCCTTTCTGAATTGGCGTTTTAAAATCAAGACTCAGCATGTTGGAAATGTGTTACAGGTGAAAGATACTCCTGGTAAAATTTGAAAACTGCTATTCACAAATTACTGTTTAAAGCATTTAGATTTACATTTACTTACACCTATATATGATTTTGTATGTGAGGCAGCCTTTTCACGCGCAAAAACGATACAAGCTAAAAACTAAACTATATCGGAATATTGTTATTCAAACTCCTAAACTAAAATAAGCACAGACTTACAGTTAGAGTTAATCAACTGGAATTCTTCCCGACGGCACATGCCTAACTCTAATCCAAAAGATGCTGTTTCAAATCGTTGAATATGCCTGCTATCTCAATTGAATTTTACCCTTCAAATCGATCCGAGAAACTCAACACGAAGCACAAAAATTCAAACTATGTGTTAACCTACTCAGTCAAAAGCCAACAACATTCGCTCCTCTGTTTTGAAACACGTATTAGAATCATAGCGACAGTTTGAGATCGATGAAACTCAATTTTATTTTTCTCGCCGTTCCATGTCTTTGCCTACATTCTTATGCACAAAGTTCAGAAATGTTACGTCTTGACTGTCTATCTGTTCGGCGTGAATGAATAATAATAGCTGACACTGGCAACCTTTGTATTTGTGACATCTAAGATCACCGATGTAATGCTCTATCGAGTTTTCGTCGTCTTTACGACGTGAGAAGGTCTCTAATCAAATGTTGAATTATTTATTGAAAAATCGTCGACACGAAGAGACATCTTTTCGGAGTCGGTTCTAATTCGTTTTTAATAATAATAATATAATTTGACATTAAGTCGGACCAATGAGTAATTCTTTACGCTTGTAAGATTCTGTTTGCTTCAGCAATCGTACTGTCTTGTCAGTTGAGGAGATCAGCCTTGGAAGCGATCTTGACAGAATATTTAGCCTTGGATTGTATGAGAATATTATGTTATCATGATTAATTAATATGATATATTACTCTAGTTTCAATATAATTTATAAAATAGTTACGTCGGCTGAGCTTAGGGTTCTATCTTGCGTTTCAAATTACTAAATAAATATGATTTTGAATAATAATTTTTGTAACATATCGTGAATATTGCACAAAAATAGTTATTTGTATGGATATTTAACCCCTTCGAACAATCCCAGTTTTCCAAATAATGTTTGTGATTTCATACTATTTGGTACGAGGCGAATTACATCTCTAGAAGCCTTCAGCATTAATTTATATATTAAAGTTTGATATATGTCGCCAAAGGGAAGTAATCGCGGTTTTATTTATCGATCGAAAAAACGGAACGACGAAACGTATCATTCTTAGGAACCGGGCAAGCTCATTAAAAGATAATTTACATCGACTTACTGATGATTTATTAATTCGCGTTATGATAAAAAGTCCTACCTAAAAGGGAAACTAAAAAGAACTACGATTCGACATTCCTTCCTGTTTTTATGGCCACTCCAACTTACTTTTGAAAAATTCTGTCGAATTAATTTGTAACGAAAGAACAAAGTATGACACACTAATTTTTCTTTAAAAACCAACTATTAAAATTGCGCAGTGCATCTCATAAATTAAATGAAAAACAAAATGATAATCAATTCAATAAAAAGTTATGATAAGGGAAAAGTTACATACGCAAAATGAAAGTATTCAACTAATATATAAATAAAACAAGAAATATCATTTGTATTTTCCATTCGATCATTTTCTTCACTTTGAACATTTAGTTATGCCAAGCAGGATCTAATCTGTTACAATTATGAAATCTTCTACTAACACGACTAAACCTACCATATGTTGAAAAAGAACTCTGCAAAGGGATCACCACATAATGTCCAATGTACCTTGTTCGAAAATCGAGAAAATTTTCACCCACTTAAATGTAATATAATAAACTCACTCGCTGCCAGGTATGGTTATTGAAAAGCGCGACCAACTGCTAATGTAATGCAGTTATGAAATAAAGCTTCGGTTCGTATCAGTATCGTAACAGCAAAATCGTATTTCGTTATTTTGTCGTTGTGTAAGTGTATTCAACAATAGGCACCTACAATGCAACGCTTTGAATAATTAGAATCAAACTCTTCATCTGTTCTAAACTATATAACACAAGTCTAAATCTGGCCTCAGTTCTTTTATATTTCGTACAATAGCCGGTTTCAGCATATGTACGAACATGTACAATATTATAATAAAACAGAGTGGAGTTGCACTAAATTATCCATAAATCGATATTGTACAAACTTCTATACATATTTTATTTTGCATCAAGTGTTGATTCTTTATCGACGGACAAGAAGTCAATTTACGCAGGTCTTATAACTGCTGTCTTGTAAAGACGAATATGTGTTTGCACAGGATAATACTAAGAGGAAGACAAATAAATTCCAGATATAGCGAAAATTTTAAAAATATCTTCCAACTATACAGCAGTCTTTTAACAATCAATCACAACCGCGGTAGTCTGGTTTGCCACAAAACTAAAACACATGTCCTGACTGTTACTTGTGAAAACATACAAAAGCAAACGTTCTAACTAAGCCATTTACCCAGAAAAGAAACCATTGCAGTCATATGCAGAACAAAATAATCCTTGCCTTCAACGCAGCATCCGGTTGAGAAATATGGATTTGAGCCGAACTTGATATTAACCCGACGACGATATTCATACGCAACGACGTGTGTCTTTCACGTTATATTAATGGCCTTAATGTTGCTTTGAAGTTTAGTTACCGTAACCGAGTAGAATTGAGAAAATTTATCAAAAAGTAAATACGAATATAAGCTAGCTAACTTAAAATCATGCAAATATTGGAAAATATTATCGATTAACCATTGAAAACTCACTGCTGGGGAGAGTGGATTTCTTTTAAACTTTGTGCCTATATCGGCAGGGTTAACATGCGTTTTCCCAAATATTACAACATTCTTCTAACGTTCTCGTTATGAAGTTTTAGCAACGATTATCTTACTATTTGAGCAGCATTTCAATACGAGTGATGCAAAAACAATATAGCCCAAAAAATAATAATGCGAAGATGCAACCATAGGCTACTTATTGTCAAATTTCATTGCTAAGTTGAAAGCTACCTGTGATCAGTTTTAATTGTGGAAAATGCCTGTTGAACAAAAGCAATCATCTTACTAGCATGCCAAGTGACTATTCTAACTTTCTAAGTAGCACAAGTGAGTATTTTACCTTTCTGAGTATGATTAAATGATAAAATAAGAATTTCTCTTTATAGCGACCAAATGTTAGCATATGCGATGTTAGTTCTCAGCAGTGCTTTCATTTTACGATAACTGAAGCTCAAAGTTTAATATTAAAATTGGAATGTGACCGACTGATCTTATCGAAGTGATGACTCTTGGGAATTGAATCAATGAAAAATTGTTAGGCGTCAGAATCATATCATTCGTCATTGTCGATACAAAATGTCTTAAACCACAGAACAATGTAATAAACTCATTATCTTATGTATAGCCATGAACTTGCTTTTCCTTTAAATCGCTTCTTAATTTGTCATCTGCATGTAAAGTGGAAAAGCTGTCGATATCAATCGACCCTTTAAAAGAGTTTATTTCTGACGTAAGTATATGCAAGCCTTCATCCTTGAAAAGTGTGATGACGTCTTATGCAGACAAGAAAATGGTTATAAATTTATTTCACGTTTTTACTTACCAAACCGAAAAACCGCGATAATAATCGTCATAATGATAATATTTCACTGCCGATTGCACAAATGGCTTCAATATACTTTCATTCTTTCAATACTAAATTGAAATATTTCGTCTGGATTACAATTATTTGATTGATTCGGGTTTTTCTGGCTATCAGTAGGGCTGGGCATTGTCGAATACCTTGTGATTTCAGAATCGAATCGAATAATTTTTTCGAATCGAATCTCGAATACTTGGAAATATATAATTGTAAGACTTTTTTATAGTAATTGGTCCACCTAACAAATGAATTACTGAAGACATAGAATACATCACTGAGTTAGATTACTGAGCGTTCACATACAATAACAAACACGTTTTATCAATACCTCACTACAGAGAATAGTCATATGTTAAAATTATGACTTCAATGAACAAAAAAAGAGAAACCTAGATCCTTGGGGGAAATGAAAAATCAAGATGGCGGCGATTCGAAATTTAGCTTTGAACCAATTCGAATAATTCACTATTCGATTCGAAATGCCCAGTCCTAGTTATCAGTATCTCGATCCTTCGACAACGTGTTTTATGGTCAGTGCTAATGATTGAAAGCCAATGATTTTGCAATTTTTATTTTCAAGAGGTTTCTGTACAATTTCATCTAATACTATGTCAAATGAAGAAAAATACAGTGGAGGTAATTTAGTATTTACAATAGTTTATCAAAAAGGGAACAAGCAACCTAAAGCTAGAACATAATGTGGTTTTATGGACAAAATGAAACAAAAGAATCGAATAATTATTTTATCATACAAATTTCAAATATGTTATTAATAGAATTTATAATCAGGTAAGTTTGTGCATTGGCCTGTTAGATAAATAAATCCTTTGCATGATAAGAGAATGAAATCTCATATTCAACCTGTAGGGCGAAAGTCACGTAAACGTGTATTTAGCAAACGTGTTTACATGTTGACGTGAGCATAATATGATGGCATCACTGGGCAATCTTTATGCTTATCACGTAATTCCGGATGTAAAATAGAGAGTAAACAATAAGGAAAAGTAAAAATTACGGTAATTTCGAAAAGTGGTGGTACTCATGAAAAAACAAATTCTAAATAAAACAGATTATAAATTTTAGACGAATTTCAAAATTGTCCCTTTTACCTGAAACTTTATTATTGGTCTACAATTTCATGTGAGTTCAGTCGTAAAAACACTCAGAATATGCATTTTTCTTCATATATACAAACTATCGTGTTCTTATTCACCGAAATTATAAGTTGTTAGCTTTCGTCTGAACGCATAACTTTACTAAAAGAAGCAGTATAGACGGACACTTTGCAAGGCGTGTATACTGTTTTGATTCGATTTAGAATTAACGAAGAGAGTTATTCGTGATGAACGGCGTACAGTACTGCAACAATGTACTTCCCATTCAGTTGGAGCTTGGCTTCAACAAAAGTATCCTTTTCTGGATTCCAAACAAATCTACTTGCAAAAATCATATCTGAAAACTCCGAGGTTCCTGCAATGACGTTCACCACTATCTTATATCTGAAAAATTATAAAAGTGAGCTAATTGTCAGAAATAACAATAATTTCAAGTAAAGCAAAACCGATCCGACCAATATTTGTTTCTATTTGGCAATATTGGCAATAAAAATCACTTCCTGAAACCAACGACGTCTACGTCTGTATATGCATGTGAATATTTTGCCTTGACCAGGCCGGGCTTATCTAATGGCTCTAAGCCATTTGGGTATGACCACTACCCTAAAACATCATTCCCATTTTTAAAATTAATCTTTGAATCTTTTTAATATACAGGTATTAATAAAAGGATAGATTTTCTTATTTGTATGGAGTATTACATTATGTGAAAAAATAATTAAATGATTAGGAGCAGAAGCCACTAACATTCCTGGTAGCTCCAGCTCCGGCGACTCGCTAGCCATGATATAAATATCCCGATCCTGGGCCACAATACAAGCTGAAGGTCGGGATTTCAACTGTTCAATGCCTGTTCATAGGTATACATAAAATCTCACCTATTTAAACAATAGTCTCTGAGAAATAATTTGACTTGATTTCTGATTTCATCACTTATAATTCGAACCTCATCTCCGCAGCATCGTGAATCATAAGATGATTTTGTCTTGAACGATGAGTTTTTCTGTAAAATACATCGTCAGTTACAATATCAACTGACTATCTTAAGAAATACGAAATATGCAATATTTGAGAAGTTAAAAACAAATAAAAATATTGATAAATAAAAAATATATTGTCAACATGTACTTTCGCTCAATATCGGATTTTAAATTCGCCGCCCACAGCAAGGCAAAACACAATATAAACATGCAGATCTGGGCTACATAAATATTTGAAATTTCTTGAACGTCACAGAAAAAACGTTGGGTGAGATACTGTAATTACAAAAAAATAACGTTTTAGTATAAATAATTGATCAATTTTTCCAACTCACAAGAATTTCCTGCATTATTTCATGAATTCTTTTACAAGGAAAATATTCCAATATTTGGTCAGAATCAGTATCGTTCCTGTGTTGTGTGTGCTCGCTTGCTGCACCAAAAAAAATACATTTTGAAGCTCATTTAAAATGGTTTTAGTGTATTGATTCACAGCGCACGAATTTTCTATGTGGATATATCTGAACTGATCTAATCGTTGAAAATTGGAATATACGCTTTGTGATGTTTCAGAACGTAATCTAACTAAAGAACACGCAGTTTTAAATAAATGGCACTATGAAACAAATTTTAACAATGTCACCCAATGACGATAGTCAAAAACGTGCCCTTCGACACTATTGTTGAGTCCTACATATAGCTAGCTATATTACGCTATGACATCAAATTCTACGCTTCGTACTGATACTATGAAATATATTCTGTTAAAAGTTACATTTTATTGACGCTTTTGTCCATTTACTCCTTTTTGAAATGAACGACGAATGTGCTGAGCCTTCGCGTATGACTGGTAGACGTCTCACAGAGGACGACTTGACTGCCTGCGGATGCATAATTCTAGTAAAATAGTACGCTGTATTCAGAATAGATTCATGTTTTGATTATATTGGTATATGCTGGAATCTAACCTGGGAATTTAACAGGCTAATTTTATAGCTTGAAAACATAACTAGCATATTATTCATAATTACCGTTGCAACTGACTATATTTTCGTAGCCTCATTGTTTCACTTCCAGCCCGCATTTGGATTTTGGTTCAATGTTTGCTATCCATTCCGCCACAAAACGATTGATTGTAATCGAACTAGCTATATTTTCCCCAGCCTTTATAGCTTTCACAATGTCAAGATATATTATATATATATAAATGAGAACATTGAAAACAACAGCACAAAATTTGAATAATATAGGTACAACTCAGATCTGTCGGTTAGGGATGTCACTCAAATGTAAAACAATGCATTTTTGTAAAACATGCTAGCAGTTCAACATATTTATGCTAGCACAAATCTCGTAATCTACGTTACAGCTATACAAAACGGCAGCTTCCAAATCTGACTGACCTTCTTGTTTTAGCCATACTAATCTTGAACGAATATTTACTCATGGTTTCTTAGTGACGCAAGTCTTTGTTTACTTCATTACATCTATCGAGTATAGTGGATACACATATCAAGAGTCCACTTCAAATTTTTTTGAATGAATCTAGGATTGTGAATTTTACAAAACATGGTAATCGAACCGTTGTTGAAGCGGCAACGATGAGTATTTGTTTTCCGCCATTATCATTAGACATGACGCAGAGAGAGCAATACAAACTGAAATTAAAAAAGGGTCAAGAACCAGGGTACAAATAAGGTCCAGATAAAAAATTAATATGGTAAAGCGTGAGGCGGAATATTATCACTATTTCATCTGGACCATAAAAATTTGAAAGGCGAACAAAACAACAACCAATAGAACTCAAAATCTTCCACGTCTCTTCTTTACCATTCAGAAGACTGATGACCAGTTCTGAACAAAAGACCCATTATGACAGGAATGGCAAACCATTGATAATGAATGAGTCAAAAATTATGTATTAATTGAGAAAAAGAAGACTATGGGTCATATATGTTTTTATTCAAAGTTAGCATCAAACTGTCCAGGCTATAACAGATCAACATTTCGGGGCATAAGCATGACGATTGGGTGCCATTACCCGTGATATGGGTATTTTTCCGAAAAGAATCCTTATGCTAAGATCATTATAAACAGAAGAGTAATGCTAAAATATATGGACACAAGGGCCAAAACGAAGCAGTAACAAATTTTACCGGTAGCGGTAGTCTGACCACGATATCTAATCACGGAACCACGACACGCCATTTTAATGACCTCATCACAAAAAACTCTAGAGACCGCAGAAATTTTTGAAACTGAAAAAAGTAATGGCCGTCTCACGAAACAGCAGATTCAGTCAAGACCGCAGCGCATGTGCTGCCGTCTTCTATTATTCTTTTAAATTTTAACCAAGTCAACAGTTAGATCCACAAGTGAACCGTTCAAGTAGGGCGTCGGCGATACCTGTTTACACTCTGCCGAATCTGGAGTTTGTAGAGTGCTAAGAGAAAGATCAATGAGAAACATGCTGTTGCATATTTTCCACATGTTTTTTTCACAGTTAGATAGTTGAGCTTTACACATGCAGCACTAATATCAGTTTTGAGGCGATTTCTGGTAATCGACGTCATGGAATTCCTGTGCAGGCCCCAAGCACTTGAAGATTTTGGTGCCCTACGTATAAATAATTATTGTGGTGTTCTTTGTATGTTATCAGAAATTGAATAAATAAGTAAGTAAGTAAGTTTTCAGTGTCGATGCGATCAGACCGATAGGGGTATTTATTTATTTCGTTGTTTTAGCTGTTTTTCTTGATTGGCCATACTGCTTGAATTTGACTCATTTTCCGACCATCTTCTTTTCCTACCACGAACTCCTTTTTATTATTTAGTTCTTTGCCGATTTCTATTTTATCTCAGGATTCCTCCATTTCTGTCGCTGGCCTGGTTGGTTTCTATCCCTCCATCTTTAAGATGTGACTGAGACTTTGCTCGATGGATTACCTTCTTTCCTTGATGGCTTGCAACGGCTCCCGCTGCTGACCCCTCTGGTTTCTATTCCCATCAACTCCATATTTATTTTTTCTTGACTGCCCCAGTCTTGCTGATTTATATTCATCTGCGATCTCTACTTTACTGCTTTAGGGCCTCGCTGTTGACACTCACTCATTTTCTCCGATCTCTCCATTTTTGCTTCGCTGGCCCTCCTGGTCTATTAATCAGTATTCCCATCCACACTATATTTTATTTTTTTCCTCGGCTTCCCCAGCCTTGCAGATTTTAGTCTATATTTTATTTTTTCTTTGGCTGCCCCAGCCTCGCAGATTTCTATTTATCTCCGATCTCTCTACTTTTTCCTGACTGGCTTGACAAGCAGCTTGACTTATTGACGATCTTCTTTTTTGTCTTCTCCTACTTTTTTTTACCACGAACTCTTATTTTTCTCTGACGCTGATTTCTATTTATCTCCGATCTCTCCATTTCTGCCGCTGGCCTCGCTGATTTACATTCCCATCTTTAAGATTGTTGCTTCTTTCGCTGGCTTTCTTTCCTTTGCGATTGTCCGCACGCTCAGACGCTGCTGGCCCCTCTTTAATACTTCATATTTATTTTTTCTTGGCTTCCCCACCCCAGCCTCGCACGCTGATTTCTTCTTTTGTTTATCACTGACCTCTTCATTTCTGCCGCTGGCCTCGCTGCTGACACTCACTCATTTCTCCTATCTCCCCATTTTTTGTCTCTGGCACTCCTGGTTTTTATTTATTATTATTCCCTTCCACTATATATATATTTTCCTTGCTGCCCCAGCTTTGCAGATTTCTATTTATCTCCGATCTCACTACTTGACTGTTTTGGGGCTTCGCTGTTTTTCCATTAACTGGGCGTTGCATGCAGCTTGACTTTTTGACGATATTTTTTGTCTTTTCTTTTTTTTATCCCGAACTCCTTTTTTCTTTTATTTCCCTGACGCTGATTTCGCTGACTTTCTCATTCCTTTGCGATTGTCTGCACGCTGCTGGCCCTTCTTTAATACATATCAGTGGTGGAATATGTTGCTGACTTAGCATCCGCTGGTTTAAATTTCACCGACGGCTTGCGATTGGGCTGCCTGCTTGCTAGCCCCTCTGGTTTCTTCTATTCTGTTCCATATTTATGCCTCGCTGACCCCCATGGTTTCTATCTTGGTATTTTCTTTCAATATATTTATTTTCTTCGTCCATTATGTTGCTGACTTCCGCTGGCTAACTTACTTTCCTTCCATTATGTTACTGACCTAGCAACCGCTTGCTTAAATTTTCTCTACGGCTTGCGACTGACTTGCTCTGGCTGCCCCTTTGTAGTTTCCTATTCAGTATTTATTTCTACTCCCTATTTATTTTGGCTGCATGCTGACCCCGATGTCGCTGCGGACCTCTCTGATTTTTGCTGATTTCTTCCGCTGGTTCTTTATTGTCAACTTATCCATTATATTCGCTGACTCCCGCTGTCTAACGAACGTACTGTACTGGTGGACTGGTCTGCCTGCTTGCTGGCCCCTCTGGTTTCTCCTATTCAGTTCCATATTGCTGCACCAGCATTGCTGCTGGCCCCTCTGGTTTCTATTTTCTCACAATATTTATTTTTCCTCGACTGTTTGCCTGTTTATCTTAAATTAGCTACTTGCTGCACCAGCCTCCCTGCTGACTCCTATGGTTGCTATTTCAGTATTTTCTTTCAATGTTTTACTTTTCCACGGCCGTTTACCTGATGTAGAGTCTCGCTGACTTCTGTTTGTATCTGCGATCTTTCCATACTGGCCTCGATGGTTTCTCTTTTCACTAATCCCGTCTTCATGTTGCTGACTTCGCTGGCTTACCTCTCCCTTGACAATTTGCGACCGGTTTGCGCCTTTTAATGGCTTCTGTGGTTTCTATTTTAGTAATTCCATATTGAGTTTACCTTGACTGCTTGCTACTCCCCTGCAAGCCGGTCTACTCTGTGGGGTTTAACCCTGATACCTGGCGTGATGTTTGACCATGTTTCTACGCTTCCCCTGTGCCACAGATACTGATGAGGACCTACCGGATCAGAATTCTACTTAATCAACAACGTCACGCCTGGCAGCCCACGACGAGGCTAATTAATTAGCTCGATAAATACATTATCCATACTGCGTTGTTCCAAAGAAGGTGTGTTCATGCCTGAATGGAAGTTGTTCATCGTGTGCGTTGCTTTTACTCGCGAATGTGTGGACATCTGAGAAAATAATATGATATCCCGTTTTTAATCGTTGTTCAGTTTAGTTTACTTTTTTAGAGAAAAATGTGCAATTATCAGCAATAAGATGCGTAAGATAATTCGAAGAGTGAATCCGTAAATTTCTGACTGGCAGTGGAGGAATACTAAGACTGGAAAACGATATAATCTCTTGTGTTAACTGACTGTCCTATCTCTGGTTTACTGTTTCAAAATTCATAGAATATATCTCACGAAAAAAAAAAATGTTGCAATTGGCGCGGCATTATGCTTTTCTACAGATTGAAAGAATATCATACAGACCGAAAATAAAAATAAAAAACCATGAATTTTGTCCTAAGAGTCCCGTAACAGGTGGCATGCTACCCTACCGCAGGCATTAAAGATGAAACGCAGTAAATCGTACGTGCGAACTACGAGACCACACGCCACCTTTTCCGGTATTATGATGAAATATAGGCTAATTAGTGTATAATTCCTACTGGTGTAAAACACCAAAATTTATTTTACCCTATTATATTCGAATTCATTCTGGTGAAAACCTCACGTATGGCCAATACGTAGGGTGACGATATTTTTGTGACTTCAAATCGGGACGCCTCGAAAGACAACGACCCCTTAGCTGTGATTTTGTAACTTCACATTTTCCGATCTTACTACATAGGCCTACATTTAAAGCTGTCTCAGCTGTCTTTATTGACCATATTGTTATCAAAATTTCATGCGCATATTCTTTGTCCAAATATCGGGTTGAGTTCGAAAAATAGGAAGGAATTGACGTTAACGATACCGTTAACGATACAAATAATTCGAATTTAGACCAATTAGTATTGGTTTTACATGCGATAGGTCTGCCATCAATGGGAATCAGCGGGAAACGAACGCATTCACCTTCAGTAAGTAGGCTAGCGCACCGCTACACAGAAACAACAGTAACGAGAACATGTTTGTGTATTCTGCTGGAAAAGCGGGACTTTTGGCTGACTTATCGGGACGGCGGGAGAAAACGCTGAAAAGCGGGACGTGTGGTAAGCCTACCAATACGAGACAACTTAAAATGGGATATACCTGTAACAGTATAGCGGAATACAAACAGACAAAACTATGCTAGAGGAAACGTGCAGAAAATGATAACTCTGAAAGGAAAGGTAATATCAGATTTTCAAATACATTGAGTTTCGAGGAGACTATATTTTCTTGTTTATTTTGCAAAGATATTTTTACAACTGCTGCAATAGAATGTTATCTTAAGCAACATTATTAAGACATTAAGCATCAAAATATTCCCTACAATCGAATTATTGCAACAGAAAACAAAATGAAAGCATTCAAATCATGCTTGGATGGACAAATTACATATTGCGGAGTTGAGATGAATTTTAGTCAATGAATCCTACAGATTGAATATTGTCATAAAACTCTAACCTTTTATCAGATTCTTGAATTCTACACAACCGTTACATCAATATTGCCAACGCCAAGAAATCTGGCCACCATCACCGCTAGCTAGACTACCTGCTCCACTAGCTAAACTCCTTACGCCGACCGACTACGCCGTAATAGCAAAGCCTGCTTTCTGCGTACGTTACCTTTCGAATCCCGGTCTGTCTTTTGGAAATTGAATAAAACGTTCCCCGCCATCATTCTGTGAGTTATTTGACCTAAGTCGCTAGTTTTCGCAGTAAACAAAACCAGGTCTATTTTGCTTTCTTGTTATAGGCCTAGTTTTTGTCAGAAGGCTATATATAGTTATGTATTTTTTCCAAGTTTGCTCCATTCACGATGTTGCACCCTAAATTTCTGTTTAGTTCAATAAATGACGTCAAAACGTTTGTTTTGGCAAACACGTATTCATTTTTCATTTATTGATTTCAACTGCTGGTACTGAAGCAATGGCCCCGGAATGGTGAAACGGGTTGAGGCGGGGTTGGGAACTTTATGTTTTATTTCTGCATATACTGCTCAAAGTTCCATACCCAAGATTTCCTTGGATATCAGAAGAGATTTCGAGAAATAATCTCGTTGAAAATCACATTTATTGAAACATGTGCAAAGGTATAAAAATGAACAGAAAATACAAAATAAGGACATAAAAATAATATTAATACCACATCACTAATAAGTCATTAAATCACTCATTAAATCGATGATGGTTTTGTGAATGTTAAAGTTATTTCCAGAGTTTATGAAAATTTACTCACATGAAAATCAAAATTGACTCATATCGTATCACAACATAAGCCTCCAAATGAACTATAATTTGAAAAAAAGCATGAAACAAATTTCCACGACGAAGTCAAATTATTTATTTATTGATTGAACAAAATTGGATTAATGTGGTGGAACAAATATATATATAAAATATAGGGATCTCAATCACTGCAGAATTAAGTATATTTTTTTTTTCTGTATGTCTTTCAGATCGCGTGGTGGAATATTTTGTCTTTGTGTACTTAGATAAACTGACAGAATATGAACGTTTATTATTAATTTTTCTTTACAAATGAAATAGGCATTGGAAACATTGTCTCATCGTTACAGTGAAAACAAGTAAAGAAGAGAGAAAAAAAAACTTGAAGTTGATAAAAAAAAATTCTCACTGGAATTCGAGGAATGTTGTAAACAATAATAAAGCAAATATAAATATAATTTTTTATCCTTTTAGTGAAATATCGTCGTCATTATTGAAACTCATGTAACACAGTAGACTTCCCCGCCACTCTCATCATTATTGTGATGTACATAGCCAGAATCCTCCGAATCCAAAAAGTAATCATAAGAAATATACAAATATATATGGAGTTCACATTTGCAGTCATAATTTGATGCATGCAGAGGTCGAATTTTAACGTGTGATAACTGGGCCTGAATTGAAATCAGTTGCGATTTCAAATACTCTTTCACTATATTTCAGATACTTATTTTTTGCGTAAGATGTCCCTTGCCGTTAATTCATGTCTGAACTTATGTAGGAATGCTCACAGAGCGAAGCGGCTAACAGCTTTCTGATCTATAACAAATGCAAATTGATACTGATTCAGATTAGTTTTTGAAGAATGAGAACGTGTTATTGTATATATCAAAAGTCTCGATATACAATGCTTACCACAATATTAAATATCTGTACAAATATACGGAAATATGGAAATACACAAATTTAAAGAAGATCATGTGATATTCCAAAATTTACATATTTGAAGAATATATAGTAACGTCTTGAATTAATACGTATAATAAAGGTATACATATTTGCACAGTGCATTATATAAAAAGAAATCGCGACAAATATTAGGATGAAAAAATTTTAGGACTTAATATTTGTAACGTAATTTTTTTAGTTGAAGAGTTTTTTTGTTACGACTTTCCAGGAATCATTTAACATAGAATGTCGTCGACCTTCAAGCTTTTCCAGCGGGACGTAATTTGCAGGAGTTTATTTGAAAGTTAGTGGACTACATATGTTCATTTCTTTATGTTAAGGATTCATATTTACAAGTCATACATTCGCCGCATGATGGTGCGCTGATACTGGTAAATCTTGCAATTGGAATGTTTTTATCGAGGTAGCTTGTAAAACGCAATAAATATGTTTGGGTGGAAGTTTTTGGTATGTGTGCAAGATGTATCATATTTTGACAATTCTGTTTATTTGCGTTTTAATTATTTTGAAATTTTGCGAAACATTTGGGAGGTTGAATAAGATAAGTTTTTGCAACGACAATGGAAGCCGTTTTTAATGTTTATTAACAGCACTCAATTTAATTCCCTTTTCCACGTTTTTCGGCGTAGACCTTGTACTAATATTCATCTTCACTTACCACGACGTTTCTGGTCATAATACTGTGGGAACTCATGCCCACCATAAAGACTTCATCACGGTCTCAATACGCCACTTGGCAGTACGGCGATCGCTGCGTTAAAAATTGTTTTAGGATACCAATGAATTCCATAAACAGAACTAGACCACCTGGCACCCAAACGCCACAAAGTTCGCAAAGGTAAGAACAAAGCATGTGAAATTGGTTCATTGTCAAACACAGCATAGCATGAAGCCACAACACCATCAACAACCACAGTTCCCGCGTCCGTGAGGGGTGCATAAACGCCGCTACGTTTGACTTTTTCAACCCCCGTGACGTTCGCTAACGTGGCTTCAGTAATGTTTCCCCTAAGAAGTGATTTCATATAAACCACATCACCTTCCTTGACTTCTGAAGCGTAAACGGCTCTGGGTCGCCACCTCGCGCGTTTATATGTGTTGGATGAATGAACGAAAATAAGATGGTTTTGAGTCAATGTTATTTGTCGGTGAGTCCGAGATTCTAACAATGATGACGTAACGCTTATTGTCAAGAAGTCTGCGATGTCATCTTCACTTTTGTGCATCATCAAGATGATGTCACTTGGGATCATTGAGCCAGTACTTCTGTCTGTCGCAAGTACCCTGTCACCCACTTCCAGTTCAGACATCTTGCGTGACTCCCCATTTTCCATTGTTACGGTACTTTCACCAGAGAAGCATCCGCTACCGTACAGTGTTGTCTCGGAATCATCTGCAAGGTAAAAATTAATTAGCATCACAGCTTGTATTCAATGAAAAAATAAATCCACAAATACAGTGACCAGAACAATGCCCAAAATAGAAATGGAATCGAAGTCTTCTCTAGACCCTAAGTAATATTACGGATAGTATTTGAAATGAAATTTACGCAATATACTTTTCGAGAATTCGTCATAACTAGTAATGCTCTGGGAAATGGTTGCGTGTCATGTTTTCACGAAATAAGTAGTATATATATATATTAATATTCAGACATACTTGAAAATTTTTAGATACCACTCACACACTTATTAACGAATTTTACTAAATTTTATGAACAATATTTCTTATTGTGCGAATACAGACTAAAACCGGATTACTCATCTGGTCACTTCTGAAGGGGGCGCAAAACCAACATAACAATAACAACAGTAACGACAATTGAAGCTTATTACTTTTCATCATTGTATCGTTGTTCAGAAAATCCTTATTTGTTGACTCCAAGCCATGGGAAATTCATAAGTAAGCTTAAAGAAAAGGAATTACCTATTTTGTTCGAGTCAAATGGGACGCGTAACGCGCCGAGAATTAACGGAAAAAAGTAATCGCGATTGTGGAACCCACGCAACATCTATTCAGGTAAAAGTTGAGACTTTTTGTTCTTGGATTATGAATTTTATCCATTCAACATAATCCTCTGATTTTATGTCGGAACGATCAAGGAACACAATCGCAACAACAAATTATTAATCCTACTTTTCAAGCAGAAGCACAATGTCTTGTCTATAACAAAAGAAATAATATTTTTTTGAAAAATAATAATATTTCTCTTATTCATGATTTTCGTCCTAATGCCACTTGAAAGAAAATATGAAAATGTATGTTAATGCTGACAACAAACTCATACGACACGGGCATTTTATGCTTCAATCGTATCCCACAAATATAAAATGAGCCCAAATTGATTCTGTCAAAAAGAACAAAGGTATTTTGTGTCGGTTTCATGTATTCGTGACAGAATAAAAAATTACGTGTTGTTGTAACACGTCACAACTTTTTTAAAGATTTTCAAAAGGGCTGTGATGGTGACATACCCAGCTATAAGGAACCTATCAAAATTTTTTGTACTTCAGACAACGCCTGTGTCAAAGTTTTATTTCGAAGTATGAGTTGATTTGAGCACTCAAGTCAAAAAGCTTTTTCTTGGGTCATCAAAGCACCAGTATTCAAGTGTTTTTGTATTTATGCGCTCGTGCACTGCAAAATATGGCAATTAGTTTTATGTTCTGGATTTTAGAAAAATTGAAAATAGCATGAAGGTATTTTAAAATTCAGACAAGGACCATTCATTTTCATGATAAGAAATATCGCATCCCCACAAGTCTAATGTTGTGTGATGAATTTCAGCAATGGCCACCTCCATTTACTAAGTCCAGTTAGACCTGCCCAGGCGAAGGCTTCTTCGAGAGGTTTCGCCTTTATTTAGATTGTTTTGGCGAGCCTTTCCCACCTTCGAGTGCGCTTTATTCACATTTAAGTGGGTATGACATCACGCGTGATTGTAGAAAGCGGCTCTTGTTAAAGGTTAGGTACATTTATATATATATGACTGCCTCGAAAACAATAAGGAAAGTCGAGAAACAATCACTTCGCAGCGAGAGCTTTTGAACCGAACCGTCAATTTGACCGCAAAAAAATCATTAGCCCTATTTGGTATAGTTCAAAAATGACACCACTTCGCCTCAATTCATTTCTTAGTATTCGGTTATCTCGGCATACTATTTTTATATTCTAAGTCCATATTACCGAGATAAAATAAATAGCAAAAATGATATAGATGTTTTATTGTTCACACCATTGTCAAAATAAACTTAAAAATATCTCTTGACTTTAACTCGTTTGTTCATCTCTGGAACATGGCACTATTTAGTTAAATATTATTGTTGTTATTATTTTACTCTCTATACACTTAAATGGATTTGGGTTCAAGGGGGTGTTTAACCTTTGCTAGCACGTTTCATTTCGTGTGAATCATGGCTCGCGGATAAAATCAAAGACGCTACTTTACGTGTGTTTAAGCACTTTCCCCTAATCGAAAACACCATTTTTTAATAATTATGTCTCATGATTTTACCGGGATTTTAACTTGCACAGTTGACAACCAACATTATCAGGGATACAAATTTACTCATTATTATTACTTTTTCCTATTTATTGTTAGAACAAATATCTTGAAAGTGATTTTCACATTTTATGAAAACTTTTAACGCCATGAAGTGTTAAATATTGCAGTACAGGTTTTTATCGCATTTTATTTAAAAATAATATCAGACTTTTTTGAGGGACCGTATTGGGGAAGGAGAGTTATTTGCTGAAGTATGCATTTGATTCAAATCCTGCGGCTTTGCCACTTTTATTGGATGTCATATCAATTGGAAGCACACCACACTAACCAACTACATACCTGCAATGACGCTAGCATGGATGTGATATTTCGATTCATAAAAAACCCAGTCGAATCCGGCTTCAACTGCTAACCTTGCCAGCATTCCATATTTTGAGTGGTCTCTGTCATCAGTGGTAAGATCGACGGCTCTACCTAAAACATAAAAAAAACTCCTGTTCATTCGTATTACAGTTTCATTTCGAAATAAATGTTACTTTAATTTTTTATTCCGTTTCCTACTTGTGAATAGCTCTTACCTTTTATTCATACAAAGTTGTAACTCGTATTGACATAGACACAGCACGATTATGAGTGAGTGGCATTACTTTAAATGGCCCACGCCAAAAAAAAATCAGCTTATGGATATTTATCAAATCTACAAAATGATCCATTATTGTATATTGTATATAGATGGTTGAATTATATGAATCTTCTCAAATGCGCACGAACGTCACATAAAATGTCACCTTCGTAGTGTAGTGATCCTTCAGGATGAGTAGTTGTTCTATGTGGTTCCCAAGCTTCCGTCACACGTAGTTTAACAGCTGGCCAGCGGGCTGACACTAGATAGGCCAATGTATCTACCCGATCTTTGCATCTCTTAAAACAACAAAATGGATATATTTTATGTTAGTCGTCTATTGCCATACTTGAACAAATTTGTTTCAGCGAAGTATTCTCTCATTGCTATTGTGCACATGTAATGGTCGACTCTGGTAGATTTATTCGAGAAAAAATAAGTGCTGATTTTGAAACCAAGCAGTCCTACGTAATATCATTGTCTATCATTGACAATAAATTTCCATCATGCGTTTTTGTTATTGACTGTTCTGTTATTTTTGGAACATGTTCGATTTCAATTCCAATCATTCGCACCTCTGTGTGATTGCTGAGGTGTTATGGAATCACAATTGTACAAATTACCTGTGAATACTGAATTGTCACGCACATGCTATCGACTTTTCGAATAGAACTGGTGTAGTATACTATAGTGCAGGGCTACTCAACTGGCGGACCGCGGTCCGAATCCGGACCTTTCGAGTATTGGATTTGGACCGCACCTAATTATTTATTTTCGACGATTAGCCCCACTTTTTGAATTTCCTATTATAAAATGACTTTCATAGTTTTGAATATATACGAAAAGAACTATAACACCATTATAAACAACTTTAATTTGTACTAATCATTAGTCGGTCGAGGAAGTGCTCGTTTAGGGATTCCGAAATATCATTTCTGGAAAGACCGGACCCAAATAATTGGGTCCAAAGTTTTGTTTGCGGACCTTCGATAAAAATAGTTGAGTAGCCCTGCTATAGTGTATGGGTGCTCCTGAAGTATGCGCATCAAGATGTCACACAACCTTAACCCTAACCTGGTACACATAGTGTGTTCAGGTTGTGCGACATCTTGGTGTGCATACTCCAGGAGGTCCAGTGTATGAGATCAAAAACTATGAAATTAATAGTACGCGAAACACCATAGAGAAAAATTTTTTTTTCAATTTTATACCCCATTAAAGCTAGATTTTTTAACTTCATCATGAGTTACATAATTCTTCATCCGATTATTCAAACATAAAAGCTCATTTACGGATTAAAATTCCGAATCTCCATGGAAAAAAATTCCATATTCCAAAGTGTATACTATATGTTGGAGTTGAACGTAGGCCCGAAATATAAAGTGATCAACTCGTTTTAGAAAATAGCAACTGAAATGGATATTATAAAGAAGTAAGTAAAAAATCAAGCCCGAATTTGCTACATGTAGGATGCTCGCCATATGGATCTTGACTTCTAAATACAACTCTGGTGGCGATGCATCGGGCTGTAGGGAAACAGTACACTTTATCGTCGTTTTGGGACTGTGGTTCTCCGTCTTACATTGTTTTGCACTAATCAATCCCGAGGAAACTTTTAAAATCGCGAGAGGCTGTAAACTATTTTAACTTAAAAGGTGAAACGCCATGGAATATATCACAGATGAATGTTTAACTTTATCAATTTTATGCAAACATAGAATTATTAGTCATAAGCTTACATGGTCAAATTTTGGCTTTATCTGAGCTTGCTAGCGTTTTAAACACAACATTGTGATCGCCTGTAACAGTAGTTTGATAGCACTGGTTCCAACAAACTCATGACAAATTCAAATCAAACAAAACAACTTTTTTCAAGTAAACATTTGCTTAATATTGACTGACCATCATCATGTTACTATTTTTATGACAGCAAAATCAACACTGGCGCCATTGTCAGACTGGTGAAGTGTCGCTACCGGAAACTAACCACTTGTTCAGAGTATTTTATGATTGAACTCAAATTTTAAAAAGAAATACAGTTACTTAATGAATTATGCAATTATCACAATCGGCGTATTTGGACGAAGAGCTCAAGTTTTAGGGTTTTCTTCAGTTTATTACACATGCTAAATATATCCGTCTAAATTTACAAACATATTTTTTTTCTATTTAAGTTGAATTTTATTGCAACTAATCCGAGCAAGAGAGGGGGTGACTTCCCCTAATCCTATAATCCTAATCAATACGAAATTCCGGATTAAGAATCTGACTCTGAATTATAAAAATACTTTGAAATATACTAACATTCGATGTAAACTCAATTTCCACTGTAGAAAAGACGCAATCACATTTCATATGAATTAATTGTATTAATTAATTAATTAAACAAATTTTAACCATTGAAAGGTTTATCTAGTTAGGTTAATCTATTCCTAGGCATTGATAGGCATCTAGGTACTTCTTAAAATTCACTTTATGTATCTTTCACTCTTATTTTAAACAAAAACTTCGTTACATATGAATATCAGTGATATCACTGAAAATTGTTTACTATCCACTGAACGACGCAGTAAGCAACCTTTTAGTGTACATATCCTGAGTTACTTTATGTATAAAGAAATGAAATCGTCTAACCTAAAAAAATATTTCGATTTTTTGACGTAATCGTACACGATTTAAATCTTATTTGAATAATTTTATAAGGATTGTGCAATCGTATCTATCTAAACAAGATTTTTTCATTTGGTGTTAATTTATTTTTGAATGGGCGGGATAGAACCGGATTTTGATGGGCGTATTGAATATGACTTATTTCAAGAATTTGAAGGCTGCCTACGAATCTGTTAATCACTGTTATTCTATTCAACATTAATGTCAACATATTAAAAATATTTCACATTAATTTATACAGTTAATTATATGATTGATTTCGAAAAGGCAATAAGTCAACATTGATCAAAATTTTAGACAATTTCATAAAAAAAACTCAAGAAGAGTGCATCGACATGCTAAATAAATGTATAGTCGATAAAATAAAATGACTCTTGAAGTGCAATTAAAATTTCCAGAAAGAATGAAAAAACGAATGAATATATATTATAAACCAAAATTTAAATTTTTTTGTGACGCATGTTGTATGTTTCGAATTGGTTTTGTTCAATGCAGATTTTTTAAGTGGACTTTTTTACTTTTCTTGCGTCCATAAGGTTTAAAAAATGCTTGATTTCGGTTATATGTCGTTTTTTTTTTGTATACTTAAATGAATACGGCGTGAGAATGTGCGTAATAGAACTTGTACTTTAGCGCATGACTGTTATAAACGTCGCATTAATAACCGCAAAATTCAGTACGTTTGTTACTTATATTTGACACCAATTGGTATAAAATATTACTTAAAACTTCTGACCTTGCGGTGAATAGCAGTATGCGCAGTCAATATGAGGTTACGCAGCAGTTCACGACTTCGTCAGTTGACGAATATTTGGTCGGAAAACTCCAGATTTCATTATAAATTTCAGTGAAGAAAAAATCAAGTTATATCTCAGGAAAATCAAACGTCGTTGTCCACTGTCATTCCACAGAAAGACTAAACATAACGACTGCTCGGTACTTTCACGACTACTTTATTTTTAAAAAAGAAAAATCCGAAACAGAACTTACATTAAAACTATATAATTTACCAAGTACTCTCGATTTTAAATTCAGTTTGGCCTCGAAATGGATATACATTTTCTGTACAATTGGCGACGAAGTGAATGGCCGTCGATGATTGTAATGACTTCCTACGCGTAACAATTACATACATTTCACTGCCAGAAAACTTCCGTTCACGTTGCTCATTTGAATGCTAAATAGGACATATTTTATTACATAACCTTAGTTTTTTATTCTGATTTGTAACGTGGACCAATAGAAACTATGAATATCAATGCTCTCCCATTATCAGTCTCATGTATGATTTAAAAAATATAGCAATGCCTGCTTACTAAATCGCAATGACGTAATCGAAAACTGATGGAGAATTGTGTAAAAAAATAGGCAAAAGAAACGGAAATGTCCAATTAAATGTATCGGGCTCATTGATATGGGCAAAACACCAATCATCGTGTATAAAAGGTCCATGCTGCAAATTATAAATTTACTTCAATATTTGGACAACTTGTAACTGCCAAAAGTAATATCGGTTCCTTTAATTTACTCCCGTATCTTTTGCAAAATATAGGTTGCACTTCTGTACTGATCGGGTAATCCAAGAAACAACTTATTATAGATTTATACAAATGATGCTACAATTATTGTTTGAAAGCAGGCTTACTTTTAAATTGTGCAATCTACGTTATAATATGGTATTTTTCTTCATTATAACATTATTTTTTATTTTGACAAAAGGGCGATACCCAATCAACTGACCAGAGGGTCAAACGTGCATAACAGATAATGATTGAAATTCTGCGTTGGTAATTTCATTCATGCAACAGGTGTGTATTACCAAGTTTGGGGTATATTAAAAACGCGCTCCCCCGTGTCTGGCAGAATATATTTGTCTGCTTTTGGCCCTCTTGATTTGCTGTTACCTTCAAATCAACAATGTTTGCAATGTAGTAAAACCTGGGTCCAGTTCGCTTACAATCTTCTGACAGTGACGTTTTTATGAAAAGCGCAAACAATTTGATCTAATACATCCGAATAAAAAATTTGTTTTCATATATTGATCCGTGTATAGTGGACATCTATAACACTCCAATCGGGCTCAGAATGCAGTATATCACTGGATACATAAAAGACATATATATTCGATATGCACAACACATTTACGTTTTCGAAAATATGAATTTTGATATGAAGATGTCAAACATAAAAAAATGTAGACAGAAATGCTCGGGTAAATTTACGATTTTTTTGAAAATTCTTTTCGACGTGAATGACGAAATACCAATGTGACGCAGACAAAATCATTGCTAGAACAAACTGTCGAAATGAAACGTACATGGGCGTTCCGGTACAAGACAAATATTGTATCGGTGGCGTCATTCATCTTATTCCCGGGTAAAAACTGATCGGATGATTATGTCGTGTAAATTCCATGACATAATCGTCTTTGACCGGACATCACACAGCCCAATGTATCAAAGATTTGAATTTCTTGTCGATTGCGGCTTGAGAGTAAACTCCACTACAACTGGACACTTAGGTTTGGTTGTATCTAAAATTTCATGACATTTTACCGCAGTGGCCAGCCTCCGAGGTCCGCAATCTCAATTTATGTAGCGGCTAATAAACAATTATCAAGCTGCCACAACAGTTTTATCTGTTTGGCGTAATGAAACAATGTTCCCCAGGACTCAATAACTCAATTTCACGGGAAATTGTTGCACAAAATCAAACTAACGGCAAATCGTTCGAAGGTCGTCTGTGACATTCAAATTTATTTTTAATATCTGACTGTCACTATCGATCGATCAACAAACAGGTTAGCACAAACGCGAAATTACAATTCTTCAGCCGACAAAATACATTGCACATGGTGCATATACCATTATTTCTTGGGTTTAGCCAATACAACAACAAGAAAAGGTAAGACTTTCCTGATTATTTGTTGCACGTATAAAAAATTTTCTGTGATTGCGGTCATTCGTTTGCTTTTTTGGGGTCGATCTGTTTTTCGCTGACTTATTATGAAAAAAATACCGCAAGATATGAATTTTTTGAAGACAGCGGTAAAACCGGCAAAAAATAACAACAAAATTCGCAACTGATTTTGATCACGCCATCCACCTCAAATTGCAACCGAAACGACGTTTGGCGGTGACATAACGGCTGAGGTTTAATCCACATGCAACGGAGCATGGCAAAAAGTTACTATTTCGGCAACACTAAAATAAACATGCGGAGGAGTATAACCAACCAACCGTCGATATGTTTATTGTTTTCATTGAAATAACAATTATGATTTACCGTAACAAAGCAGTTCCAATTTTTCATGTTTATTTGACGTTATGATATGCGGTTTATAAGAAATACTTTTAGTGATGAGGTACTGAAATCGAGACCTAAGTTGTAACTTTTAAAGATTGATGAAAAACTACTCGCCACGTTAACGTTGAATGTCAATTACCTACCCAACGCGGAAAAAAATAATAAAATTTGACAAAACATTCCCTAGCAAGTTTTCACTGTTTTAGTTGTTTTGTTTAATCACTAAAAAAATATTTTCACACACAAATCACTCTTCAAACGTATCTTATAAATAGATATGTAAGATTATTTTATCGCGATAAATGGCCTTCATATAAGCCTACATGTAAGCGGACTTATTTCGTCTATCGCGTAAGGAGGCTGGGAGTTATTGAACAACAGTGTGTAGTTAGTATGAAGTAAGTTTGATTACATATGTTTCCCATGATGACGACGAACCTTTCTGTCTAACAAGAAAATATGCCATAATATTCTATATTACGAATTACCTCGAAATGAGCGGTAACAATTTTTAGTTTACACGCTTACAAATACAGTCAAAGAATACAATTGAGATCTTGTGAGCTGAATTATCTTCGATGAAGTCTGTATATTTTTCATTGCAAGTTGCTTCAAGTGATTTTGTGTATGTGTGTGTGTGTGTAAAAAAGAGAATTCAATATATTCATACCTTTGACATTCGACGATCATCGTCAGTTCCTTCTTCATTTTTAAAAACAACTTGTGGGTTATAGTTTACAATGAGATCTTTGAATCTTTTGTCTTCTCGTGTTATCTTTCCTTCTGGTGGCCCACTTGCTCCGATGGTAAATTCTGATATGTTTGGAATATGTTGTCTCTGCACCAAAGGTGTCAGTTTTCTCGAAGGTTTCCGCCACTTTGAAGGACCCCCAGTCCCGTGACAACCGTCAGTTACCCGATTATGAGAGACAATCAGCAATAGTCCGACAATGATTATAATTTCTTGACAATTCATTTCGTCCTCAGAGCTGTACATCTGGTTCCATTGGCGTAAAATATTATAACATATTTCTATTTTTATTGCATTTCGTATTAGGTAAAAGAAAACAAAATAAATCGTTATTTTTCTGCCAAAAACCGTGAAAGGAAATAACCTAAAAAACTTTCGACGGAACCATTTATGCAGCTGCAACAATCTTATTTCCCTTAATTTTAAGACAGTTTTAACCTGCCAGCCATCCGGCGCAATAAAACAAAACTTCCAAACAGGAGAAAAGTCGCCTCTTTGTCAACTGAAATTTAAATTTGAAATCGGAAACAAACGCGAGGATTAAGAAATCAATAATGTCTGCACCAACGCGGAATACATTAGCGGAACGACAAAGTGGGCTTGTAACAAATTAACGCAATAATGGTCCAGCGTGACCTAAATGATGGACTGAGTGAATCAATGAGTCGGCCGGTGAGTAGAAATGGTGACCGTGCCAGGGGATTTCATTTTAATTAATGTTCTACTGTGACAGAATAGAAGAAGAATCCAATTAATTTGGCACGTGTGGAATGTTGTTTTTATACAAAAGCTACACAATAATGAAAATAATTTTATTTTGTAAATAGGTAATATTATTTCAAAAACTTCTGATTTTTATTATCCTCCTGCTATACATTTTTAGTATGACTTGGGCAAGAGTATTCATTTTTCGATTTCGTTGGACCTAGGTGATTTGTCAGATCACAAGATTGTACCGCTTCATTGAGATTCTTATGTTAATATATTGCCGTATGTAATTATTCGTTTCCAATAGTATTTCTGTTCTGACCACGTTGCATATATAAATCGAAACTACGTTACCGTCCCATAGCTGAACTAAATCAGCTGTATTACTGTTATCGGATTTTCTTGAGAAAAACAAGGAGTATATTTGTGTAATAGATTCATTGTTATCGTTCAAATTACAAGCATTCATTAAATTTTATTAAGATTACGAAAGTATGGTCCATCCATGATCACGAAGCACTAAATATCTTGCATAATGAAGCCTTTTTTCGAGGCAAAATTATTTGTCAAAGTTAGTCGCGACAGCTGCAGAACAAATGCAGCAGAAACATTTTGCACCAATTATTATGTTGTACATCGCTTTTTATGCAAAAACGCTTTGGCCGTGTGTGATTGTTGAAATATTTGGGTCAAATAGGGTTTTTTGATCTGTTTTTGCAATAAACGAATTGAACTACGGTATCACATGATAGAAAGGAAATTCAGAATTTTCGAACCGAATGCCTGGGGCTGAAGGAGACTGAAAGAATATTTTGGTATTGCACAATATTTCTAATATGTTTCTTATTACCCAGAAGGAAATTTAACAAAATGAAGATTACCAAAAGTACTTATTCCACGTACAAAAATGCGCTCAACTTTTGATGGGTAAAATTTCAAAATGGTACCATCTTGAGATACGATGCATCTTCGGGAGAGTAGCACTCTGTCTCATTCGAGTGTTTGCTTTCCAAAATGCGGTTGAATCACTTTTGTACTCAGCATGAGAGCCGCTTTCCTAATTTTTAGTAAACTCTATTCGCCGAAGAAATAAATTTGTATGAGTAAATTTGTCAATTAAAATCAAATATTTCATATTTCAAAATCACTAATTTTCAAAGTTTCAAACTAGCGCTCAACTAAATGTTTACTAATAGTATTGTAAACGATTATTATTCAAAATAAACATTAAGATGGAACTTTTTTCAAAAATTGCCACGACCTGTTCACCAACACTAAAATATCTAAGGGTTTGTTATTTCTCACTAACACTTTACCCAAAATAATTTGCATCAAGATTCAAATTTGAATTGCAATAACTTGTATATATATCATTCACTATAAATATGTACGTTGCTATAAATACACATTCATTTCTGAATACTGATCAATCCGTCAGTATACTACGTCATTAGCCAGCAACAAAAGTCTTTTTAGTCTCTTCAGAGCACAGTTTGAAATCACGTGAATCCCTCATCTTGCGCGAATTCGGGTTTTGCGCCCCGACACCCAGAAGCTACTGAAACGAGAAGCACATCACCGCCGAATATATAAGTATCTCGCGCTAAAACATCAAAATTATTATGTTTTACTTGTTTGTATCGTCGCGACAAGATCAAACAAATAGGCCGACCGTGTCTGAAGTGTTTTCTACCCACCTTAGATTACTTTGCTTTACAAAGCGCCACGCTAAGAAAACATGATTTATAAATCATATATAAGATTCGATGAACAATAAACTGGAATATATCTTCAAAGTTTTGCGATTTGAGAAACAGAATGACATTTTTGTAAATCGTTTTCTTTCGGTTTTAAAAACTGAAAGATTTTAGCTTTTTTTTGTACACTGTTCATCGGGATATTGTAAGAATAAAACTAATGCCAAAAATCTCTTTTTTATATCTTTTTGTCCCATCGACATAAAAAGTCATTATTCTGATCCAATAACAATGTTGTACAAATCTTCAAGACCAACTGCACCCAACTGATTTCATTACTTCTATTTCGCTCTATATAAACCCCGATCGGAACTTGTTCGATGACATATTAAGTGACGCTCCCGACAGAAATGGCTTTGCTGATAGGGACGCAAATTACGTGATTGCGTGAGAGATGAAATTTGATAATTGCGTGAGATGACATTTATTGCGTCGGCGGTTGAGAATCCATTGACGACAAAATCAAACAAATCTTGTATTAAAACAGCACAAAGCATAACAAATGCCTAATTTTACTGTTTGTAGCGCGTTACTAAGGTATAAATTCGGGGAATTTTGCAGAAGAATATCAGTACGAGACAGGCACGGTTTGAAGAGCACTCTACCTCAAACACAATTTTTAGAGTTGTTACTATTTACTAAGAATTATGGCAATATTTAACATATTTTATAAGAATACGGTATTTAAATTGTCAAAAATCATTGATTATATTTGTTTATTGATTATAATGACGTCATTTGGTCCCGTTTGAAAGCTTTTTGTTCAGACTGGATGACGTATAGGAAATATATCATACCAATAATTAGTTTCAAAATACTATTTAATTAGTCATCAAGTGTACCTTATTTGATAAATCTGGCTAGCTTGTCGTATTAATTCTAAATCATAGAATATCAATTTAGGTTACGACGGCTAGAGCAATGCTTATGTAAGAAAACCACTGATATATTGCACAAGACTTGCAGGTCATTCGGATTTGATGATGTGCTCTTGGTAAGGATGGATGTCATACTTTGGGGGAATTGCTCGCGTGAGCTTAAAAAGTCAAATTCATTGCAAAGCATTGATCTGCGTTTGAAACCGAAGAGACACAGGGAATCACTCCACTGCATTGGAAGATCTTCAACGACTGAAACAAATTGTACAGACCACGGTTCTTTTACCTTCTCACCATTACAAGACAGACTGATGGATGAAAACACCCATTACAGACTACACTATTAATAAAAGACATCATAACGATAAGGTTCAAAGTATTTACTTGATTCTCTTATTATAAACGAGTACAGTAATACTATCTACCGGTAAACTTCTCATTTTTTTAAAAAAACTACACATGCTGAACTCGTTACTATACTATTGCTTTATATTTATCCTACCTCATTATTTAACCCCTAGACAAATCAAGGCAAAACGTAGTTTTATTTCACTATCAACAAGATTTCAAAAATGTAATAATTGTTTGTGATATGTACACAACTAATTATGGACCGTGGCTATAACGTACGATCAGAAATGAACACGCCAACGGCCCGTTCTAGGAAAATTGTGAACTTAGAATAAAGACAAAAATCAAATATTGAGTGTGGTATTTGCACGGTAGTATTTGATTTTCAATTCTCTGGTTACTTTTTATTGACTTAGCGAAAATTTCCGACAATGTTTGACATTGCATTGTGAGGGCACGCACTTTACCCAGCACGTTTTTGGGCTGAGTAAAATTAATCAAAGATTTTGCAACCGCATTCTCAATGCCATGGTTTACAAGTGAGGAAACAATGGTTCTAATTCTTTTTCAAAACTGGTTGCAAAAGAACCGATACTATTTTTATGTTTAAATTTAGTTTAATGGAAAAGTGTCAAATGTAGCATCGATATATGGACTCCAAACGTGAAAATATTGGTAAAGGATTTGAATTGTACAAACAATGCTTCCCAACCACAAATACATTGACGCAATAGCTGCAGTTTGTAGACATTTCATATCAGAAGTTACACAAAGCATTTCCGATATTGCCCACCGCAAGCTACACCGCATATAAAACGTTAACAATAGGTATTGTTTCCTTGACTGTACTGAAAAAAGAAACTTGGTCACAAAATTGTGATATGCCAACATTATTCATAGTAGATAAATAACTTGAAATGCATCAAAAGAAATGTTTTGCACAATCATATAACCCAGGTTATAGAGAAGTAATTTTAATCCGGGATACGCGCAAAATATTTTCTTGTACTCCGCATTTAGAGATCCTAACGCCCTAGTTTTTCGTCAATCGTTGTCGAATGAGGAAGTTTTTACTTTTTTCTTCTATATAGTTTATACTTGACTGACCTATATTATATTAGTCGAGCAGGAAAATTTTAAGTTAACATTCCAACTTATATCTACATATTTATTCTGTTATTCATACACTTTTATTACAAAAATAGGGGCTCCCGAAGTATGCGAACCAAGATGGCGGACATCGGAATGTAATATGTGTACTAGGTTAGGGTTAGGCCATAATTTTAGGTATAAATACTACGGGAGACTCTTGGCTAGTCTTCGAACTGATAATAGGACTAAAATAAGGAAAATTGGAAAAAATTATCGCCTAACCCTAACCTGTTACCCACGTTACGTTCCGATGTCCGCCATCTTGGTTCGCATACTTCGGGAGCACCCAAAAATATTTGTGTGTTTTGGTAGTTATATAGTCTTTTGTACACTAAGTAAATGCTTTTTTACAGACAGATGTATTAATATATGTTAATAATAAATATTCTTCAATCTATTCTGAATCACATTCAACCCTACCTATCCACTTT